TAGTCGCTATAGCCGCTGTTGCAAGCCGGCAATTAATTAAGATAGCTAGAGATACATGCTAGATCGATAGGGACTAGCCGTGATAACGACGGACAAGGGTCTCAGACTTCAGGGATGTTGCAGTGCTGTGGTGTTGGAGGTGGCGCTTCCACGGCACCTCAGGCTCCGCAGCTGCAGGCTACCGGATCTGCTAGCGGATCTGCTGTCGGGGCTACCACCTCCACGATCATGCAGGATCCAATTCTCGAGTCCATCCTCGAGGTAATTCTCTTTCTTATTCTTTTTTTTTTTCGGTTAAAAGTTAAGATTTGATGCCGACACATTGTGCACGGCCCCAGGCATCCCGAGTACAAAAAGCCTCCTCTCCTCCACCTTTTTTCATTATTAACATCCCACGAACGAACGAACGAACGAACGAACGAACGAACGAACGAACGAACGAACGAACGAACGATTTCCGTTTTGCATCACATTCCGCTTCGGGTTATTAAAAACGGTTACGAGTCCAACTTTGTACTCGACGGAAATCGAGCCAAAGCTTCTTTTTTTTTTGTCTCTTTTTTTTCAACTCCCCTCCAGCCCTCCCATCCTCTTATTCTAGCGATTTTAGGACGATGTTGCATCAACTCTCAAAATGCTTGCTAACGTCGATGCGCGATTACTACTTATCTTTTCTCTAAATTCTTATTGATTATTATCGCATATAGTTAAAGTTAAAAATCGTTGTAATGTCTACTTCAGCAAATGCGAGATACTGAAGCTCGGAGAACGGATTTGGAACGACAACACGCGGAAGCACAGAATCAGCTACGCGAAAAGTTGGGAGGTCGATATCAAGGCCCAGAATCGATCGAAGCCCTGCAGTCGAAAATTCGAGAGTTGGAGAAAAAAACTGAATTGCAGATAGTTAAACACGAAGAATTGTCGATAGAATTGACGAGCTTGAGAAGGGCTCGAAGTCGTGGCCCAGGAGTCGGTCACGTTACATCTGCAATTCCTTCGTCCACTTGGCCTCCGGCAGGTTCTGAAATTGACAGAATTATTGCCAAGATCGAGCAGGACAGTAGCAGGTAAGCAGCAGGATAGTTGTAGTTTGCAGTTTGCGTTTAAGTGCTCCATATAAATAAGAACAAATTAGTGCTGGCAGAATGTTGCACGACTTGGATCATGCTCGAGGAACTATAACTACGCAGCAACCTTCGGCCACGCAAAGTATTCTTCGATCCAGTTCGGAGAACCTTCCTAATTTGGGCCAACACCAGCATCCTCCTCATCCGCATGCTCTTAATCTGGGGATGTCCACGCAAATGGGCCATGTATGTAGAATCATTGCGTTCGATAATAATTTTCATCAATTGCTATTTTGATATGTAAGACCGTTCTATTTATGATGTATAATGTAGTACGCAGGATCGCCCATGCCATTGACGCCGATGATGCCTGGTTGTCCACCGTTGACGCCAAACGGGCCTCCATATCACTATAGCGAACCAATACCGCCAGCACCGTCTCTTTCGACGAGTCAATCGCAACCTGCTTTTCAACAAAAGCTCCAACAATACCAACAGCAGCAGCAGCAGCAGCAGCAACAACAAGCGGATATGTCGAGTTCTCATTCTCAAGGAACTTTGCCCAACCAACAAAAGCAACAAACGCACACACACTTTACAAGTAATCAGTATCAAGAGAGTTATCCGCATACGCAAACTTATCAGCAACCGCTTCAGCAGCAACAGCATCCAAGCTCGACTTCGTACCTGACATCGTCGAATCAAAGTGTGATACCTCATTATACGCAACCAACTCAGACTGCGCAAAGTTATCAATTAAACGGCAGTCAGCATGCTTCTCAACAGGTAACATATTAATCGTTGACAAAATCAAATGTGAAAGTGAAATTTGTAAAAAAAAAAAAACCAAATTTTCACGCAATTTTTCACACGCTTGTCGACAGTCTACGACTTATCCTAATATATCGATGGCGACGCATCCCAATGGGACTTACAGTTCAGGAGCGACTTCTTTCAATCCTCAACTGTCTCACCTCAACTATTCGGTTCCGCCTTCGAATATCACGCAAACAACTTTGTCTACGATGACCCCGTATTCAACGGCATCCTTCCATTCGTCGTTAGGGCCACTTACGAGCGTTCCTCAAACCGTTCTTCCTTATTCGAGCGCTCCAAGCAGCTATGCTACAAGCGGCACGACTTATTCAACCGTCGGGACCAATGCTTACAACATCCCGGGCGTTAGCTCGGGTTGGTAATCCTTTTTAATCATCGAATTCTTCCTATTTCCTATTGAAATGATCATCTTTTTTCTTTTTATTTACGATTGATTTTAGTTACTACATCGGGAAACTTGTTACAAGCGATAGGAGATCCCTTACAAGCGATGCAACAACTTTCTGCCCAATCGCAAGCCAATCAATTGCAACAACAAGCGATTATTCAACAAATACAACAAAGTTTGCGAGCTAGTTCACCAACAGCGACTGGCACAACGGGTCATCATTTTCTTGGCCCAAGACAAATGCCAAAAATCCCTACTAGTATACTTACTAATCCTTTAGATAGATTGACCAATGAAAATATAGTACCTGAGGGTCAAGTCGACATGTTGGATATACCTGGCAAAGGCAGATGTTACGTTTATACAGCTCGATTCACGTACGAGCCCTTTCAGCATTCGCCCAATGAGAATCCAGAAGCGGAGTTACCCGTACAAGGTGGAGATTATCTTCTTGTTTGGGGCCAACCGGACGACGATGGTTTCCTCGACGCTGAAACTCTCGATGGAAGACGCGGTCTTGTACCCGCTAACTTTGTACAAAAGATTATTGGCGACGATTTGTTGGCTTTTCATCAAGCTGTCCTCGGTCTCAGGGACGTCGATGATTCCGCCTCAACGAATATTCCACAAGTGAGCAACGTCGACGTGCGTTCATCATCGACAGATCGTTGTTCAACCAATCATTCTCATTTTCATTTTCATTTTAGTGTTACCTGCAGGACATCGATCTAGAATTAGCAGCTTTAGAGGAAGGAAATCGAAATCGGCAAGCCGAACTATCAGTTTATGCTGAATTAGACAATATTGCGGACGAAGAGGAACAAGAACCACCAGGTTTGTAAACGTCATAGCATAATGTATATATATATATTATACATATTATTTTTCATCGAATAACTTGTGTACAAAGAATATTTTGCTTGTATCAAATTATTATGAGGTAGAGCTGTAACATTGCGCATTTCGATGTAAAGTAGATTTTCTTTGAGTGTAACACGATTGACACACACTACTTTCGATACTTTCATTGTACATTTTACAGCGGTAGATCATTCGAGCACAATTCAACACACTTAAATGATTTCTTTAAGGTTCAGTTTTTTCTTTGGTTTTTTAGATCACATCATTTGATAAATCGATACATGTAAGCTTCATAAATGTCTATATTTCTGAGTTGGACGTACATATAGAAAATTCTTGTTAATATCTTGTTAATATCTTGTTAATATCTTGTTAATATCTGTATTGTGTCTATGCATCTGTGCATATCTCTGTGCACAAAGTATAATACTTTGCTTTCACAAGAATACTCGAGATATAACGATTGAGACACATGGCACGCGCGAAATGATTTGTTATGTTGGTGCTGTCGTATCTGAATATTGCACACAGACGTTAAGTATTTGCTGGATTTAGGCTCGTTTAGAGAGATAGATAGTTGAAAGGTTTCTAGCTACAGCTAGGCTCGTCTTGTCTTTTTCCTCCTGAAGAAGTCTACCTGTTTTCGGACCTAGTTCCGGCGCCGCAGCACCTTACTCTCGAACGACAACTGAACAAGAGCGTCTTGATTGGGTGGACCGCTCCTGAAAATCCTCATCAACTAGAATCCTATCACGTGTACGTGGATGGTGTACTGAAGGTTACCGTTAAGGCGTCTGAAAGAACGAGGGCATTGGTCGAAGGAGTTGATTCTACTAGGGTTCGTAAAACTTACCAAATATTACAAAAAATTCAATAAAAAACCTTTGCAATGCCATTATTAATTATTATGTTATGTTGTTGTTTTAGCCTCACAGAATAAGCGTGCGATCGGTGACACATTCGAGAAGAACATCGAGGGATGCAGCTTGTACAATGGTAATCGGCAAGGATATTGCTTTGGGTCCAACTGCCGTTAAAGCATCGAACGTGACAGCAACCAGTGCCGTGATATCATGGTTGCCGAGCAATAGCAACCATCAACACGTAGTTTGCGTGAATAACGTCGAAGTTAGAACCGTAAAGCCAGGAGTTTATAGACACACGATCACTGGTTTGGCACCCTCAACGATCTACAGGGTGACGGTAAAAGCGAAAAATTTAAGAGCAACGCACTTTGAGGATCAAAATGCTCAAGCGGTAAACAATTGGGCCTGTCATGTCCACTTTAAGACATTGCCCAAAGGGTTGCCAGATCCTCCGGTCGATATCCAGGTTAATAGCGGACTTTGATTGGTTATATTGTTTAATCGATTGGTATGTTAATTGATATGTATGTTGATATCAGTATGATGCAATCACAGGTGGAGGCTGGACCGCAGGACGGCACTTTGCTAGTGACCTGGCAGCCTGTTGCCCTAAACGGTTCGGCCGTCACCGGTTACGCGGTGTATGCCGATGGAAAAAAAGTTACCGACGTTGACAGTCCTACCGGCGATCACGCTTTAGTCGACATACACAAACTTATGGGCCTCAATCCAAAACACATAACAGTTCGTACGAAGAGCAGGGAGAGTCAATCGGGTGACAGTTGTGCCACAGCGATACCTTGCAGCGTTCTTCGAGGTGGTACGAGTACTACTCATTTGCAGCACGGAACGCAACACATGCTCGATCATAGTCAACAGCAACAATCTTCGAGCGTCTTGCAACAGGATGATCCGAACCGTCATCGTATGACTACTGCTCAGCGATATCCCACGGCACCTGTTCCATCGCACATGAGAAGACAAGGTACCAAAGTCGATGCGCATGGTCAAGTAATCATTGAAACAGATGAAAATCTCTCCGACAAGGAAATATTTCCAGGACAGAGCATCTCTCAAATGGGTGAGGAATTTTGTCTTCCTTACGGTGATATATTCGTCCCTCACTTCTCTCTCTCTCTCTCTCTCTCTCGCTCTCTCTCTCTCTCTCTTTCTCTTTTTCTCTCCCACTCTTACCTTTTCGTCTGTTTTAATATTTCTTTTTTATATTGCGCGCAATTCAAGGTTTTTTTCTTGGCTAATTATCCTTAGCTATTTCAGAAATCACCAAGGATTCTGCCAGCGAAGCCAACTATAGCGAAGAGGATGATCCATCTCGAAGAGGTCGTGGAATGTCGCCTCATCATCATCGTTACGGTCCTCAAGGCCCTCAAGGACCACCTGGAACATATAGATCGGTTAGAATGGGAGGACCTGCTAGACCTCAGGATGCCTATTACGATCAAACGGGTATCTTTGATAATATTTTTATTAGCAGAAATTCTATAGTATGATTAATACGTATTGAAAACAATGATGGTTTGATCTTTCAGGTAATCAAAGGATGAGAGGACCACCGATGTATGGCGCTAGAGTAAATCAAGGTCAGGGTGGCAACGTTCATCCAGCAAGCGGGGTTCAACAAATGAATAAAAGAGTACGCCGATTTATCGCATTGTTCAATTACGATCCAACAACTATGTCGCCAAATCCTAACGCTCTCGAAGAGGAATTACAATTCTCCGAAGGAGACACTATCAAGGTTTTCAATACTACATACATACTACATAGATGTTCATACATTTTTCTTTGTCGATCGTATTTATAATACTAGCTGTCTTCTGTCTTCGTAGGTGTATGGTGAAAAGGATGCCGATGGTTTTTATTGGGGCGAATGTCGCGGTAGAAGAGGATACGTGCCGCATAATATGGTCGAAGAATTGAAAGATCAAAATCAGGGTGGTCAGGGACAACCTAATAGACGAGGTCCCGCGTCTAATGAAAGATGGGGAGACATTTATGCGAGTATGCCAATGAAAAAAATGATAGCGATGTACGATTATAATCCACAGGAACTTTCGCCAAATCCAGATGCGGTAATGAAATCAAATCAATGCGATAATTAATGAAAATGTTATTCGATGTGTTAACGAAATGGTTTCGTTGAAACTTTTGTAGCAAGTCGAGTTACCGTTCCATGCCGGTAATGAAATTTGCGTATACGGTGAAATGGACTCTGATGGATTTTACATGGGCGAACTGAACGGAGTTCGCGGTCTAGTGCCAAGTAATTTCCTCATGGAAGCTTCTAACCAGGGTCAACCGACTCAAGGAGGTAGAAGGCCACCGGGACAAAGTCAAGGACCTGGTGCAAGGGGACCACCTCCTCCACCGAGAGAACCTCCACCAACTGGCCACCGTCGTAGTAAAGGTAACATTTATTCTAACTTTATATCTACTACTTTTGATTACGTTCATTTTACTCTTTGTAACGCAATATGCCGCGACACGAAAGTCTCGCGACTGATGATGATTCCTTTCGCCCGATTCTACAACCTTATCTCCGATGTGCTATCTAGAACACCTCCACATATAAACGAAATCTACTTAACTTATCGAATGATTCTTTTCTTTTTCTATTATTTATTTGCTCGGGATGTAAAAGCATTTCTTTTCCTATGAATCGGAATAAAAAACAGGGCAAGCAGCGCAAGACACGAAACTAGATGTGCAAGACGACGAGCAGAAGGGTCACACTAATCTCGTCGAGCGTTATTATTATTATTATTTTTATTATTATTATTATTATTATTATTATTATTATTATTATTATAAAGATCTAGATATTAATCCGTGAGAAATTGCAATAGCATCGTTCTTTTGGGAAATCTGTGATTTTTGTTATACCGTTTAATCGCACTATTGCACTAATATCACTAAGAAATTAGATTGTGAGAGGAGAAATTGACTCAATCTTCCACTCGTAAATTGGATCATTGAGTTTCTATATCAATTAATTGTCTTGAAAACATAGGCTGTCTCATACACACGGCAATATATATGCGCAATAAAACACTAAGCTGCTTTCAGTGTTCTCTCTACTTAAGCATACTGTACACACACACATATATATAAATATATATTTATTCATTTATATATTTATATATATATATATATATATATATTGTTTTTTTTTCTTCCTGCTCTACGAGAGTTTTTTAGCTCCGTACTTCTCTCTACATATCTGTCCTATTCTCTCTATATCTATTATACGGACGTATTATGTATACACTTTATTTACTTGTAAACGGATTCTATACAACACGATCATGTACTATATAAAATAATGCGTTTTATACTCTATATACCGACATGGTCTGTCTCTTTGTGTGCCTGAACTGGTCGATGGTCGTCGTGTCACATGATTGTCGTTCGTGTCGTGTTGTCATGCTGGCCATTTAATAATTATCTTCGTCTTTACTTAAAACACTTATGTATATATATATACATACATACATACATATATTTATATATGTATGCATATATATAAATTTTAATCGCACGTCGTTCATGTCACAAACTTCGTTTCACTGATTATTATTCCATTGATTTGATTTATTGTTAAATGTTGTTAATCCTATCATTATAATCTAATTGCTATAGCTATCTTTTCATTTTCATATTGAAATCAAATGTTAATTTAAATTCATAGATTGGAAACGCGATTATTATTTTCTAACTTAACTTTTCTTAACTTAACTTAACAAGAGAAAAAGAAAAATAGCAAGAAAGACCAATAGAAAAAAGTAAATGAGCCATAAATGACAACACGGTTCTGTTCTCTTCTCTGTTGCTAGATGCCTGCATTGTGCCTGTGTCTGTCCCTGTCTGTCACTTAGACTCTAGACAACAACAACAACAACAACAACAACAACCACTAATGAACAACCAACAACATCAACTACAACAAAACAATCCACCGCATCTAGCGTACCAACAAGCGAATCACCATAGTTATACGACTGTAACTACGTCTAATCAGCATGGGCCCAGTCACTTGCCTTCAGGCGGTGGTGTCATGGGTGCCCATCAGCAAGGGCCCCTTCCACCCCACCTTCAACAACAGGTGAGTGCCCTCCTCTTCCGAAACTTTCCGTCTTTCTCTCTCTCTCTCTCTCTCTCTCTATCTCTCTCTGCTTCATGCCATTTCTCCTCGACGAATAAAACATGCAGGGTGGTCAGCTTTTGGTCAACCACCTTGTATAATTTTTGATACAATAATCGGATTTACTGATTTCGCAAAGTCATTTTTAAGCACGACTATAGGGAGTTCTTCCTTGCAAAAAAAAAATATGAACAAATTTTTCGAAATCTAAATGTGTAATTGTATGTGATAATAAGATTGGCTCATTGCATGAACTTGAAGAAAGAGTCTCTTTTAATTTGGCATGAATTAACAAGGAACTCTCGATAGTTGTGCATCTATCGATGTCGACAAGTCCATCTATTGTTTTCAAATAATATCTCACGATCGGATTTGTTTTTTTTTTCTTTTGTTTTAACTAACATCACGATTCGTCGTTTGCGCATAATCATTCGAACAATTACGTTAAATTTCTAAAGGATAATCTCCAGTCATACTAAAGTTGAAGATGAAAGAAAAAGTATCTTTTTCTTTGGTTCTTTTGTTCATGACGGCTTGTGTGCGTCGCTATTATTACGCTTAATTGAATGTGCACTAATAGCATGATGATACATAATAAACATACGCTTACACGTATTCAACAGAATACATCACTATCGTCGGCAGCTAAAAAATCCGACGAACTGGCGAATTCGTTTTCACGTTCACATTCACATTCACATTGGACATTTACATTCACATTCACATTCACATTCACATTCACATAGCACTTGTCCTCCTTCTTCCTTGAATCTCCGTTTCTTTTAGGTTTAATTTCCCATATTTAACTAGGAATAAAAGAAGAACTTGTAGTATCAAGGAATTTGTAGGTATTGTTGGTATTTAAAAGAGAGGAAGAAAGAAATGAACATCGATATAATAATCATCGATGGATAATTGCAATCGGTCGATACTGCAAATGAATATTTGTAATAATAAATTTGATGGATGGTGTCACCTCGTACGTTTCATTTTCAGGGGAAGGGGAGGGGAGGCGTGGGCAATCGGGCCGGTGGTAGTAACATGCCAGGTGGCATGCAGGCTCCGGGCCAACACATGCAACAACAACAGCAACTCGACTATCAAAATCAGCAACAGCAGCAGAATCAACCGTATCAACAACAAGCAAACCAACAGAACCAGAATTATCAGCAACAAAATCAGGGATATCCGCAACAAGGACAAGGTTTTGGTCAGCAAGGTGGACAACAGTATCAACAACAACCGCAACAACAACCACAACAACAGCAACAACCGCAGCATCAGCAACAGCAACAGCCACAAGTGCAACAACAAAATCAAGGGTATGGTCAACAAAATCAAGGATCGTCGATGCAGAGTTCGCAGCCCAGTAGCAAACCAATGAGAGGAATACCTACTGTCCTTCCGACTCCTCAAAGCAAAACCCCGGCGAATGCGACGCAAGGACAACAACAACAGCAACAACCGCAACAGCAGCAAAGTACGGGCCCAAATCTGATGCAAAAGTTTACGGAAATGGCGGGTGCTAGTGCAGGCGGAGATATTCTTTCCAAGGGGAAAGAACTTATCTTTATGAAGTTTGGTTTGGGCAAGTGAGCTATTGCCTTTGCCATACCGCCGCCGCCGCCGCCGCCGTCGCCGTCGCCGTCGCCGATATTTCAAATACATCTTTTCTTTTTCTTCCTCTCCGCTTACGATATTTTGGCGCGGATCCCGACGACATATCGATTACGAGTTCCGCGACCAGAGCGTTCGAATGCAACGTTATTATGACCGTTATTATGACGTTAGAGCGCAAGATAAAAGAAATATATCAAAGGAATATATCTATGTGTGTATACATCTATACATGCATACATACATTCATACATAGATACATACATACATAAATACCTACCTACATACATACATGCATATATATATATATAAGAAAGAAAGGCAAGGATGCCACGTCGCTGCTGCTGCTGCTGTTGGTGTTGGTGCTGGTGCTGGTGCTGGTGCTGGTGCTGGTGCCATTATCGCTACGCAATCGCTGCTAGAATCGCTGGAAGCATATAAACGTAGCCAGGTAATCGATCGTAAAACCTTTCAGGAAGAATAATCTAGCTCGTCTATCATTTCACGTTGAACGGAAGGAAAGAATATGAAAGTGAGAGAAAGGGAGGGGCGAAAAGGCGGCTTTGTTGCCGATGTTAACTTCGATAGAATTTTTTTAAGATCATCCTGATATAAAAAAGAAAAAAAAAAAAAAAGAACAAATAAATAATAACGGTAAGAAAGTAAAAGATTTCTCGCAACGTTGACGACGTGTAAACCACGCGAGAATATCCTTAAGAAGAAAATAATAAAAAAGAGAAAAAAAAAACCAGAGAAATACTAAACAATGTTATTCCGAATATATTTACGTTTCGCAAAAAGATGTAAGAAAAGAAATTTGCAAAGCGGAAGAAGTATATTTAGTAAGGTTCCTCCAAAAAGTCTTAATATATCCTCTTCTAATTCTTCTACGCGAAAGCTGGAACTTGTTCGCAGGTGCTAATACAATCGATGAGAGTATTATCTTGATGTTCCAATGTACGTGAGCAATGCAGATTCAATCTAGAGAAAAAAAAATAAGTATATTTCCTTCAATATTGTAATATATTCGCGAACGAATATACATAAATGTTGGCCGATTATAAAAAAAATGTTATCGCGTCCAGACCAAAGTACATCACCAACGCGTGTTGCATGTTTTTCATACCTGTTACCGTACCTTCCAAACGGTGTGGACGATTCATCACCATCTCCTTTCGAAGATATTTTTCGTTAAATAATTACGTTGGCTTTTCCTTGTAATAATTAATATATAATGCAGAATCCTCGTTGAGAATCGAACGTGTCTTTCATTTGAAACGCAATTAATCGTTCTCGTGTTACGATGGAATTAAGAAAAGGAAAAGAAAGAAAAGAAAACAGAAAAAAAGAACAAAAAAATGCATTAACAGAATCAGATTATTCGCAGAATATATAGTTGATTAAATGTTAGTAAAAATAAATACTTGGACGAGCGCACACAAGATTCATGTATGTGCGAACGTAATGGAACAACTTAAAAACTTTGATCATGTAGGTAATGCGTAGAGTATGATCAATTTTATCTACATAGGATGGACAATGAAATGTGGGGGTGTGCCTTTAAATATCTCACCCTGAAAACAAAAGATGAGACCATATCCTTATAAATTATTATAATATATTACAGCTAGTTATTTCGTTGAGGTTGCGAACTGATGCGCGTTAACGCGTTATTTGACTTTCCAAGTGGATTTAATTAGCCAAAGCGAATAAAGGATGACAAGTTCGTTTCCTTCAACAATTTTCTTCATCGTCCCTTCCATCGTCCTACCCATAGCAAATCTCTAGCTTCTTTGGCTATTTTTCGATCCATATTCTGTGAAGATTTGGTTTGACACCCGCGCGTGTCCATTCCCCGTCATCATTGTAATGTACGTAGAAGACTCGTCCCATCTGCTTTATGATCGTTTAAAGGAAGAACGTATTCGCAGGCAGAGAGATAAAGAAGAAACGGTAAATGTACAGAAAGCATTTAAAGTACGAGAGCAAGCAAATAATAATAATCAGGTCACGACGCAATCGAAATCAACCTGATTTCCTCATTATTTATACCTGCACTGAGAATGACGTTATCATCAAATGATATATATATATATATATATATATACGATTGATAAAAGAAATGAACAAGAAAAAGATCGTAGGATATGCATACAATACATAAAATATACATATTATACAGATCGTGGCATTTAAGACGATATATACTCTGATATCTTAGTCGATTAAACAGATGATACGAACTAATGTTTCGAACAAAAGGAATGGAAAATAACGAAGGAGCTGTCTTTTTCCAAACGTCACATTTATTCCGATTATATTTCATTTGATAATACTTTGATTTACGATCGTTCCTATCATGAACAAATATGATAATATTATATTTGCATATTCGCGGAAAAGTATTGAAGACGTTCTTCGACAACATCGATACAACTTCGAAACCGTCCAATCGAAAATCCAAATATGTGTTCTGCGAAGGAATTTGAAAAATCGCTAAATTTGCTCTTTCTTTTTGCTTTTTCTTTTTTCTTTTCTTTATGTCCGGGTATAATTGATTGATCAACTTGTCGGATCGACGCAAGAACACAAGTAGTATACGATATAATCAATGTAATAAATTTCTTGGAAGAAATGAATATTTGCAAAATGACGAATAGATAGGACGTTTAGAAAAAGTCTCCTTTTAAATGTTCAACATTTTTAGAAACGGACCAAATGATTTTGTTCGATAACGAAAAGATATTCGAGTATAAGGTTTTAAATACCGCACCTCTTATATACATACGTATACATATTGTATTTAACTATTGCAAAGTGTTGTTACGTCGCTAACTTGCATTGTATTTTATACAAAATGTCCTTGTTCATACTTCATCATTTTCTCTCATTCGATTATCGTCAGTCGATGAAAACTAGATTATTCATGTTTGTTATGTCATGCGTTTACACAATTGCAAACTATATATACATATATATATATATATATATATACTTGTACATTTCCACGTTAATTCGAGCTGAAAGAAAATGAAAGAAATAAGAATTGTTATTGGTTAGAAAGGATAAACGCGCGTTATCCAGTATTCATTGAAAGAAAGGAAAGCGATGATATTTGTCTCTTATTATACGCGTCTTCTTCTCGTTTCCTTCATTTGCTTGCAATTCTTTTCTTTTTCATTTGTCAAAAAAAAGGGCAAGAAGATCGGTGCGCAACATATCGAAACGAAGCAAAACGTGAGAGCACAAATTTACAAAAAGCGTTAGTCGTAGGCCAGTTACGTAGAAGAGACCAGTTTACATTCACGAACAAACATAGACTTTCTTCTTTCCTTGATGTCGGATCGATGATGCGATCATCATGCATATATAGATCCTTCGCGTTTGTAATAAGGATAAAAGCCTACCTGAATCAATAATCATTCGTCGACCGCAAACATTAACGAAATCTCAATGAATTAACGGCTAACAATAAGATATAAGATCGGTTTATGTATCACGGATCATAATTCTATTATTCATCTTTCGTTGATCTCTCATATACGTAGAAAAATATGTATGATCGTAGACAAATTAACCCAGAATTTATCAGACATAATAGTGAGAGTATATACTTATATAAGTTATCATCTTGATTCAGGAAATGTTAAAAAAAAGACTGATACGGAAATTTCAAAGCCGTTGGTACTTAACGAATCGTGATTATAATATTGCGCCAGAACATTTCCACATAAAATTGTACCGCGTTTGTACATTTCATTTGGAATATCGGCAGTAAGACGTCGCGATTAGAAACCTTTAGATCATCATCGGAGTAGACAAGAAATTCATGCTCGAGAAAATTCGAGGAGCAATCATCTTTCAGTAGAATTTCACGACGACAACCAAAAAAGACAAACAATGAATTTATTATCGATCGACAGCGCATATTCCTTTTATTCTCTGTATCCAATTTGTAGCACATTGACCGAGCGCGCGCGCGTCTGTCTTCTTTCTTTTTATAAATCTTCACTTTTTTTCTTACTTATTTTTATTAGTATTATTAGAGACGACATTATATATATATATATAGATCAAATAATTATTGTTATCGATTGGATACAGAAAAAAATGATGCATATATCACGGTACAAAAATCAACCGATCGAACGATATTGTATTCTCTATTCAATATTGTTAGATGTTAGAAGTTAGTTTAATTAAGAAGCGGCGACGTATTTAGGATTAAAATGGTCATTACTCGTTATACGTACGATAGCGCGCGAGAAGGATCTACTACGTCTCTTTGTCTTCGCGATCAGACCAAATTTCACCAAATTTCACCAAATTTCACCAAATTTCCTAGCGATAATGATAGTAAGCAGACAACAGAGAAACTATAAATTATGGCGCGAATACAATATTTCGATCTATCATGAATTTTATTGTTAACGTTATTGCACATATATATGTATATGCATACATATTTGATCGCATAAGTTCGTTCAGATTTTCATTGATCAGCTTGTAAATCTTATAATGCGTTGAAGTTAAGTCAATCGGAACGAACTTACAAACACGCTTTACGACAAAGCGCGCGGACTGAACGTAAAAAATGTGTGTAAAACAATGTGCTACCGTAGGGCGTTCTCCTAGTTGATCGTTATCTCGAAAAAAGAAATTCACGCGTGTTGCATAGATCTCGAGATGGGGCTCATTGCGTGCACCTTTTTGCTCCAAATTTCAACATGTTGTGTAGATCCTATTCAAGATTTCCTCCTGTCTCCTCCTATCCATCATCATTTTCTTTCCACTTTTCTCTCTCTCTCTCTCTCCTCTCTCTTCGATCGATATCCTATTGCAAAGTTTCGAATGGTACGCTATTTTAACCCTCTATATAATATCATTTTATTTAATAACAAAATATATTTAGCAAGAAACATTAGTCTTCTGATAATGTTTAATAATAAGATTGAATTTCGTTGTAGTGTATGACTTTGATTATAGAGGGTTAATCGAAAAGCTCGAATCTTGTTCTCTTTGAAAAAGAATAATAATGAAATGAAAATTGTGAAAAAAAAAGGTCAGCAAATGTAGAAAAATAAGATACTTTCTTTTCCCTGTTCCTTTTTTTCTTCTTCTTCTCCTTCTTCTTTCTTGTCCTCCAAAGAAAAATCAATATATATCTGGTCTTTTTCCTCTCTTTCCAATATTGCCGTTTAGATGAAAAAACTCGATATCCCTTATTGTATATTTATGCGTTGCTAACGTACGTGTAATGGTCCTCGCTTAAAGTACTTGTATAACACAAGAGTGACGTTGAATCGTTGCGATTAAATAAAAAAACGTGGAACGTTTGTGCTGACGCGAGAACATTTCAATGAAGGAAAGAAGAAGACACATATATAATAAAATATATATATATATATATACTACGTGCGTGATTTCAAAGTTACGAGAGATAGAAAAATCGATCGAATCGAGATTCGAGGGGGAGAGGGAGGAAGGACCGCGCTGCATTGGCATCTTTCGACAACTAACCGATTGATTGTCCTCCTTCTTTCTCGTCGGAATAAAATCAAAGATGTTATTGTTGTTATTGTTGTGTTGTAAGAGCGGGTATAGTGCAAACCGATAATATATAATACGAATATAACGAATATCGCGTGAAGATTAAGCGCATGCCAAGTGTCGTCGGTCAGAGCTACGTTTCGCTTTCTTCTTTCTATGAATCAGTGCATAATCATTAATTCTTTGGTCGTCTTCTTCTTCTTCTTCTTCTTCTTCTCCTTATTTTTTTTCTCTCTTGTTAGTCCACGTGAAATAACGAAAAAGGAAAAAAACTGACATAAGCGAAAAAATTCAACAAAAACACACATAATGTTATTATAAACAATTAATTAATAAAAGACAAATCTTGTTTGTTGTTACTTGTGCTATTCCTCCAGAACTTTCTTTGCTCTTATATCTTCTTTCTTCTCTTTTATTAGATATTTACGATAGGAGTCAGACGTAGATGATATTTTATTATTATATTTCTTCTTTTTTTTTTTTTTTGTTTCTGCACTGCAATACATATTAATGAAAACGAACGACGGATGGTCGTTCACTACACACGATCGATGGACATGCCTTATTTAATACGTTGTTTATATCGATATATTAAGAATGGAGAAGAAATCGCAAGAAAAGTAATTTATTATCCCGATCGATTTGTAAGTATTATTTCACGATTTATGTATCTTCTTCCCAAACGGTTTCCGTAAGGATAGCGATGTTATCCAATCCACGCATTGGTGCATACTCCAAAGTCCACATCATATTGGTAAATACAACTGTGCGATTAGAGACAAGAGAAAGGAGATTAGATTTAAGAGTGACATTCGTAGTGACTCGTAATTTTCATTAATTGGATCCAAACTTGGATCCGAAATACTCACGCATCTCTCCTTGATGCAAATCGGCAACGAGTTCGGGGCAAGAACTATTGCATGGATTTATCGGAGTTAATCGCAATTGAGTTGCACCACGAAGCTGCGCCAGAGCTATCAAACCAGAATCTAGCTCGACTTTTTTATAGCTAGGACTGTTGTAGTCCGATGACATGAGGACCCAATTGAAGTGTGCCGGCGAGACCGTGCTCGAAAGAAAGTAAGGTCTTTGATAATATTTTCTCAATACTTTGACGGCATTGATGTCACAATTTTGCCAATGAACGAACCACTTGGCAACTTCTGGCGAGTGTACTCGACGCAAAAAAGCTGCTAAATCGGACGAACCCATTCTTAAGTTGGACGTGAGAGCACATGGGACCGTTTCCATCAACCTTTCGTTCTCCAAATAAAGCTAATCGAATCATTCCACAATTCATTATCTAATGAAAATGATTTGATGATCAAAGCAATCTATCGATTGCTTTTATTGTCGTCTACTTACATGAGTTATATTATCGAACCAAAAGTAATCCGTATTCATGACTGCCCATGTGTCCATCGCATCGGTGATGATAGCTGGAGCATCCCGACTGAGATAATTGTCAACGAGGCTAAGATACCTTACGTCCGATAAACGATCGATCGTTTCGAGAGCTTCGCAGGTCTTTGAACGCATAGATATATCACAATAATTGACTTGAAACAATAATCATAGTCATAGTATCTCACGGTATTCTACCTACCACGCAATCTTCTTCAGTGATCGTATAATCGTTATAGAAGGGATTATTGATCATGCAATTTTCGTAATAAAGAGGTTGCCAGTTCCAGATTGGTAATACTTTGATTAATAATAAACGGCTAAGAGCAGTAAAGTGAGTCCCAACGAAATCAAGTTGGGCTGCAAGACAGGCCAAAGTACCAAGTACAACGAGTATCAAAGTACCACGAAAAACAAGTTGCAACCATGACCGGCGCATTGCCGCTACCAAAGGTTGACAAATAATATCCATTTCTTCCTCGGTAAAACCAGCTTGCTGACAATATCTGTAAACATAGATACAGGAAAATGAAAGATATAAACTTGGTTTCAGATTTTCACTATAAAGTTTATTAAAATATATCAACGTTCTGATTCACTAGATTCAAATCACTAATGTATAAGTAAGAACAATTACTTGTAAAATGAATTTAACTCGTCATCGATCAATCTTAGCTTTTCCGAGTGGCTCATTTCGTGTTGTTCTTTCGCATATGCCTTACGCGGTTGTTTCACACACTTGCTACTCGACATTTTCTCCTTTTTTTCGCGATATCTTTCGTATTTAGGCAATAATAGAGATACGAGAACGTAGCTCCAGAAGAAAAAACGTCAACGAACTATACAGCAGTTCGACGATGCCGTTCGACGATGCCGTTCGACGATGATATTAGAAGCGCACGCGCTCGAGTTTTCTCCTTCCCTTGCTCATCCCTTTCAATGAATATCGATCCTCAAACGAACGCGGGATATGGTCTTCTTCTTCTTCGTTTTAAAAAATGTTTCATCAACTTTTTTATCAACATTATTTTCAATGATGATGTCGTCCATTCAAAATCATAATTGTAAATTAACTATTCCATTTAAATGAGATAAGAATAATGATACATTATAGTATAATAGAGAAAATAAAAGTATTAAGGCAAAACGACATAATACAATTCTTTTTGTAATCTGTATTCGCGTATTCGTTTAGAATGGCGCAATGCCATCATCAACTTTAATGCCAGCCTATCTAATTTAGTTTTTACGTATCTCTCGTAATCTTCCGCCGTGAAAAAGTATTTACATCCTGAAATTAAAATATCATTTCAATGTAGTCTATGTAAAAATCTATTGAAAAATATTACGTGTGCATTAATTTATGATGAAAAACTACTCACCACTGTTTTTGCAGATAATATTTTGATTTTGATAGTATAAATACAAATCATGTTCCCCCTTTTTTCTAGCGGCTGCCTTTCCAGCAGACAACAAGGAATATTTAGCTTTTAATACTTGATTGATAGAATTAATTAAGCCATTAATTACTTGCAAGGATTGCCTTCCAATCATATACTTTGGTAGATTATTGAACTCTTCCTCTTTAAGTAAAGATATTTTTGGATATTCTGGTTCGTTAAAAAGTGCCTTTTTACAATCCTTAATAGCAGAACTTTCAATATTACCAAAATCCACAGTTTTCTCTGTATTATTATCAACGGTAATTGGCGTATGAGAAGACTCATTGGAAACGGATTGCACTGACTCTTCCTTATTATTATTTGTATATGCGATTAGTATTTCATGAGGAATATTATTATACATATCTAATATTTTTTCATTCAAATGTTGATATAAAGATAAAATCTCCTATATAATTACATATGAATAAATAACATTATCTGTCTGTCTAATATATCTACATAACTTGAAGTACACATACATATATATATATATTCTCATTTACCTGAAGAGAGCTATTCTTTTCTTTCAATCTATCTAAATATCTTCTTAAAATGCAGATTTTATTGGAAATATCAAGAACAAAGTTTTTAATAAACATGATGACCTCATTTAAATTTTGGCTACCTAAGTAGAATACAATTGACAAAATTAATTCTACACAATTAGACTTACTTAATAAATAATACAATAAATAAATGTTACTTTTCAATAATGCTGTTTCCACTTGAAGGTGGTCTAGTAACGTGCAAAACTTTTCAAGCAAGTCTTCTACACTTAATACAGATTCCATTTGATTCAGAATTTAAATACTTTCCTCTGAAAATAACGAATATAATATAAAATATTTGAATTTCCCAGAGCTAGAAGTACAAAAATAGGTAAGAAAGGCTCACATCACTATATAAATTGTTTTACGATAAACTCTCACATCTCACATAGATGGCAGCTCAAATGATTTATTTTGTCCACAAATTTTTATCAACAATTTCATTAACATTAAAAAAATATATGAAAAAGAGATTATTTGTATTTATTATCTGTATTTATATTAACCAAATTGGATTAATAGTTTCGATGTAATGTCACTTTGTAAACAGTTCTTTACCATACAGACTTTTTTTTGTATATACGACGCTGGCGCCGCCACTTGGCAAATTATTATATTTACAAGTAATAACGCGCTTAAATGACGCGCGGTACGTGTGACAACTGACAATAGATAACGAAATGATGCAAGTTTCATAAAATTGCATTAATGTTTTTTCGTATCGCTTTTAATTTTTCCGAAATATTTCTTACTGCAAAGTTACTCACTAATGAAATGAAACAATGTGTACTCGAGTAATAATATTATATAAATATCGTATTGTCTTGTACATAATACAATTGTAATACTTCAAATATACAATGAAGTTATTAATTTTTATTCCGCAAACTTTTAACAGCGAAAAATCTGGCTATGTGTTTGGTAAAGTTATATATGACAGGCATAGGGATATCAAGAAATATTATATTATTGCTATTTGCGAAAAAGATGTCATTGAAATAAACAAATCTATTAACCTCATTGGTTATTACCACAATACAAATGATATTATCGAAAATGTAGATAAAAAGTGTATAGATTGGATAAATATTTATCTCGTTGCAGTTAACTCATCGTCTAATAGCAATTACTATTACTGCATAGAAAATATAATAAGTAATAATAAAAAAATTAGTCTATCATCTAATTCTATGGTGATAATAATTTATGATTTGTTAGCTTTGCAAGAGACTGAACTATTTGCTTGTAGAACAACTTCAAACGATCACTTTTATGAACTGATGAGAATATTACAAACGGAGGAAGTTAAACATAGTATCAAAGTAAAATCTAAATTAGATTCCATTAAAGAAACTGTCATTCATTATTATACACTTTTCTGTTTGATTCCGATTATTTTTTTCCTAAACATGACTAACAAATTACTACCAGTATTAAAATATTCATCATTGGGAATACATTTAAATGGATGGTTGGAAAACGTTAAATGGATTTTCATAAATATAATGCAAAAGAAAAGAATTTCCTTGAAAACGGGAAATTATATCGTAGCAACAATTATAGATATTTTATTGGGCGTAATAGTCTTAAAACTGTTGTTATGTTACTTTAAGGACGTATCACCATCTCAAGAATTGTTAAAGAATGCAGAGGCAAGTGTTATTATGACGTGTATTATTATATTAGGCACATGTATACTCGCTTGCTTGATATTTTTTTTTTTCTTTTTTATAAATTATATCTATGTATTAAACTTACAGAAAGTAGTGGAATCGTTGAAAAATTTGATTCAATGGCTAATGGGTGCTCCAGCTGGCTTAAAATTAAATTATGCATTTAATAATATGCTTGGAAAATTTTTCCTCTATCATATACACCTATGGTGGACATTTCTAATATTTATGACACCTGTCATGGATTTTGCATTTGAAGTATTATTATTGTTTGGAAGGCTCGGTGTTACTTTTCAAATATCGATAGCATCCGATCTTTTAGCGCTTATTAGTTTCCATACGTATTGCATTTATGTTTATGCAGCAAGGTATGAAAGTACATAGAAAAACAAACATGTTCCATCGATGTTCCAAGTAATATCTGAATTATATATTAATAATTATTACGATGAACATTTGCAGGCTCTTTAATATTCAATTAAATGCGCTCACATCTCTATTTAGACTGTTTTTGGGCAAAAAGAAAAATCCCTTACGAGAAAGAGTGGATTCTTGTCAATATAAACCAGATCAACTATTCGTTGGGACTTTATTATTCACTATTCTTCTATTTCTTATACCAACAACATGGGTGTATTACACGGTTTTTACTACGGTAAATTACGTTAAAATACATTTTAATTAGCATTATTACTTCATTAGCAATTACTAATATATATCTTCATATAGTTATTCATATTTATATAATTCAGCTTAGACTTTTGCTGACTGGTTTTAGCGGACTTTTAGCTAAATTAAGACTTTATATACAAGTTATGCCTGTCTATGCATATATTCAATGGTTATTCAATTCTTACTGTACACGTAGTAAGTATAATTCACTTTTATATTTATTTTTATATTATATAATAATACGCACTTGAGTGAAAATTATTCTTCAAATATATGTGAATAAATATCTACAATTATAGGTAGCATTTATATGAAATTACATTCGCAACAGTCAGAGAGCGATATGACGATAACTTTATGGATGACAATGGTCACATCTTCGTGGGGTCAAACATGGACAAACTGTGTTATAGATACTATAGCTTATCAACCATCTATTAAATGGAGCGAAATATTAAACAGTATAATATGGGGACAATTAATTTACCCATTGTAGCAGATTACCCAAAAAAAAAAAAAAAACAACCAAAATTAATATAACATTTAGAGACTACTTTATATGTTTGTTAATTGAAAGATTTTTGTAAATGTTTTTATTTTTTATTTACTATTTATTTTAATTAACTTTAAAAAAGAAAAGGAAGATATTACATAATTAACTACTATTTATTATTAAATTGATAGTATTTACAATTTGGTCATTAGCTTGGAATTTAGCTGTCAGGTGTATTGGGCGTGATAATTCCTGGTACAGTCTCTGATAACGGTTTTTCCAAAAGTAAGTCTAAATCATTCTCTTCTCGTAAAATAAAAAAATAAATGAAAAAAATAGATAGACTAATTACTATAACATTACTTTCTTGCGGATGTCTATCCATCATAGGAGAACGCGTTTCAGCAGCAAGCCAAGTTGCTGCTTTCGACGTTGAATACTTGATAGGTTCATCTAAATTCTCATCATCTACAGTTTTATTTTTCGACGATGCTTTTCTATTGCTTTGAAGCAATTTATTTTGCAAATTATTGCATAGACTAGGTTGTCTGAAATGCAGATATTTTGACATTATGCACAAAAATTCCATAACCTATAGATTACAAATAAAGACATATTACCTTGCTAAAAAATTCCTTTTGCATTGATTCTGGAGGCTTACTTTCACTAATTGCGTCAACATATTCATGGTAACCTAATATTTCTTTGATCGACTATTAATTAATATTCATAATTTTAATATAATTTGAAAAGGCTGATGTAAATTTTGTAAATATATAAATTGTACGTACATGCACTTAACGTTCGTTCTTCTGTTTTTTGTTTTTTTGTTTTTTTAAACTTAATACACTTCACAAATTATTTATAAAATATACATACGCAGTTAAACGGCCAGGAATAATTATGAAAAATACTGTTGTTGATATTTTTTCCTAATTGGATTGTAGAGGTAAACAAAATGAATAAGGCGCATGCACCAAACAGAAATATCTTGAATAAAGCGCATGCACTAACACGAGATGTCGTGAATTCGGATAGTCGTTGGCACATGCTCCGGTAACATATCTCAATTTTACCTGGTTCATATTAATACATTTTATTGTAAATACTCTTGAATTTTGACTTACGACTAATTGTCAATTCGTATTAACTGTTTTCTAGCCCTTGCTGAACTTATTCATATGTAATATCATTTTGTTATCAACGCATTATGGGTTTTGAGAATACATCCAATTTTGGGGTTAGAAAATCCAAATCACGAAAGCGTACGAAAATTCGAAATGAAATATTAGAAGGTAAAACGGTATTCTTGATGAATTTCTAAATGTGACATTGTGTATTTATATTTATTTAATGTAATAATGCGATAGATTTGAAACAAAAATCAGTCTTTTGTGCCTTCGAATAAGATTATTATAAAAAAAAAAAAAAAGAAAAAAAAAATGATTAGAAGTGATAAGTGATTTTGTTGATACGTACTATTACTAATTGAAAAAGAGAAAGTGACAGTCAAAATAAATAAGATTTTTGTGTATAGACATGGATAATTAATATATTTGTTCATGAACAGATAAGAAATCTCAAGCAAATTCTGACAGCAATATAATAGCCAAGAGTAGCGACGATGAAACAGGAGAATCTAATGAAGCTATTCTAGAGAGAGCACAACAAAGGCCACGTAAATGTAAAATTTCTAAAAATGGTCTTAATTACAAAGCGACCAAGAGAACGTTAGAAGAACTTGGAGGTACCGACATATTGCAGAAGAATTCAAGTGATATTGAATTATCGAGCGAAGACAAAATAACGTCTAAACGTCAGAAACGTGGAAGGTAAAAGAAATGATATTTCAATGAATCACTAGAGCAAGATTTAGCTATAGAGCAACCGTCGTTACTGTCATTTCATCATTTTTAGTATTGCGCTTGTTGAGAGTAATCAAAGTATGGAAGATTTAAATACTACTGTTTCGGAAGAGAGTGCAAAGAATACAAAAACACCTTCGAAACGAAAAATAAAGAAAGAAAAGGCTGAACAAAGAGAAGCAGAAAAGCGACAAGCTACTAAAGCAGAAGCAACTCAAAAAGCGCTCACTTATGTTAAGAAGGTAGAAAGGCTGTCGAAAAGCTGTCGAAAGGCTGTCGAAAGGCTGTCGAAAAGCTGTCGAAAAGCTGTCGAAATGATGCATGCGGACCGAACGGTCAAGTATTGAATCTTATTTGCTAATTATTTGTCATTTTTAGTGGAAATATTCAAGAAGCGAATGGAAATTTGAAAAAATAAGGCAGATATGGTTAATGGATAATTTACTCGACGATACTCTTATCCCCGATGAAGTATTTCCAACGGTGTTAGAATACTTTGAAGGCTGCAAAGGTATGGCCAGAGAACAACTTTTGAAGAAAGGTATGGATGTCGTACGAATTGCGGAAGAAAATATAAAAAAGAAAACTGAGACTATAGAATCTGTATCATATAAGAGGGCTAGATTACTTTTGCAAGCATTACCAACTGAAACATAATTAATATCAGCGAGTATTCATTTATAAGAATTTTCATTATTTATCAATAATTGAAGATTTTCATAAGAGCACAATAATTACTTACATTTCGATATAATTGAATAATAATTTTGCTAAATATATTATTCAAAATGACTAATGAATTATGTAAAATATAGGTTTAATTAAAACTAGTGAGATCAAACATTAGTATTTTAAATTTTAATTTATATTAGTTATTATTGATCATTGTTTATATATTCAAATTCATATCTCTCTCTCTCTCTCTCTCTCTCTAAATGTTCCTGTTATATCTATATCCTTGAACGTATACAAAAATATCAAATTGTACGTTATATCATATTAATAAATTTTAAATATATTCCATTGTTTACACAATAGCGTAGATGAATTTAAGTATTAGTAAGTTATACGATTGTATAACAAAACAAAGTGCTATAAAGTCAATTTATATATTATACATAAGAGAAAGATTTATTTCATTATTATTCAATATCTTTTCTCATTTAGTTTACATAGAATTTTTGCAAAGTACAATATACGATATAATTGTTAATACAACTTCAAAGTTGTTTCAAGATACATATATTACACATTCCTCGTCGTCTATTATTTATACAAATACAAGAAACAATTTTTTGTTCTTTAAGAAAATATCATTCAATCAGCTGATTTTCTATTGAAACTAAATATGATCAATAAAAAGACGTAGAAAAATTATTTGAAAAATGTTATGATTATATTAAATAATGAAAATTTATCCTTCCCTTCCTTTCAGTATTACATTCTACAATGTGTTTAAAATAAAGAAAAAAAAAATGAATTCTAATAAAAAATAGTCCAATTTAAAGATATATTTGTACTATTTTTGTAGACATATTAAACATGTGCCACAGCTACAAAAAGCAATAACAGGATCGTACTATGTATAACGACGCTAGATTAAACATTAATGTGCATTAATCTGCGTACTTGTTAACAAATTGTCTGAGTTTATCTGTATCTTGTAAACCGACGATTCTTTCCAGAACTTTCCCATCCTTCATTGCAATTAAGACAGGAACGCTGCCAACCTAAATGGAGAAGTAGTTTGCAAAGAAGAAAAAAGATTTTGTTAGAAGAATGAAGCAAAGAAAGATAGTGATAATTAAGGAAACAAATGACGACTAACTTCATAATCAAGAGCAAGATCACTGTTTTCATCGATGTCAACCTTAGCCAAAAGTACTTTTCCCTGTTTTTCTGCAATCACCGATTCTAAACGAGGAGTCAACATGCGGCATGGATTACACCATCTACAGAAAGATGAAATATTTGTCATAGTCCAATTAGTTGACATCTTCAAGATTAGATTAATGCTCTTACAGCATTATTTATTGTTACTTACGTCGCGAAAAAATCGACAATCACAGGTACCTTTGAATTTTTCACGCGTTCGTCAAAATCTTTAGGATCTTGAATCTTAAAGGTCGCCGATATTGCATGTTCTTGTGCAGGCGCATTTGCCAAATTTCTCACATTTAAATTCTTACGAATAGCTCTGATACCAACGCGCAACATTTTCTACACTTTTTAATAACAAACTTGGTGGTGTTTACTTGCAATGTCTTCAAAATTGTACTAACGATTTGGCGCGTTAGAAATTATTTTCATTAATTCCTATTCACTCCTGTTTTTTTTTTTTTTTTTTTTTTTCCGACGAATGTGCAATCAGACAGAATGGTTATTTCAATGAATAATCATTCAATATAGAGGTCGCATTTGATTTACGATACGAACAAAAAACTCGATAAAATTAAAATGCGACAATACCGACTGTTGATAAATGAAATTTTCTTTACCAATTACTGATCAAATTATTTCGCGCTAAATATTTAAAAACGAAATAAGTTACGTCATTTAAACGAAGTTCATTTAATGACAATTCTTAACTTTATATATAAAGTAAAATATAAAAAATACAATATAATAAAGGTAATGTGATGTATTTAGTGATTGGAAAGAAATGCGTTGGTGATGTGCATCTAATAGAAAATGGTAATGTCGGTGACTGATAGGAAGAGAAAAACTTGTTCATTGCTATTCATATAATAGAATAAATAATGAGTAGGATGCAATTTGCACGTAATACACACATCAAGGATATTAATCTATTCTGAACTGCGTATGTTTTATGAAATCTAATAATACGACGTCCTTGGTAACTTTGTATTTAGCAGAAAGTTGGTGGATAACGCACGCAAGAGTAGATGGAATCCATGGTGTCACGCAACGGAAACGAGTGGACACTCATCTTTCCAAGGGATCGTTTATGTATTTATACATTACACTCGTGTCAACTCTTATTTTCTTTGGAATGACAATAATAATCAGGTAATACTATCGAAAGAACAGGACTAGTGATATAGAACCAACGAGATTATTCGTTTATGGCATTATTCGTAATGTGCATTTAACATAAGAAACGGTCTAATTGATAAATTGAGTCATTCGGTGCATGTACTTCTTGTATCGACTTAACGCCTTTTTAAATGCGACATGGATGATGCACACGCGCCTGCACACCCCTTAATCATTCTGGCATTGTGAGTTACGTAAAATAAAATGCACATCGTTTATCGTCGAGGCAAGCATCAAACGTCTTCTTTTTACTTTTCTTCTGTTCGAAAGAGAGAGAGCGAGAACAACAAATTGTTAAATTGGCATCGACAACGATTAATAAATAATGTCAACTTATATGGATTCGTCTTTTTCTTATTTTTTTTTTTTTTTTTATCTTGTCTCAAGTTATTTCGTCGTTTCTCAATATTTTATGACACTTAACAAAAGTTCTGACGAAACGTAGTTATTATAGCTATTATATTATTTCATGCTAGCAAACAAATAACGTAAAAATGAGAAAATAATCTACGCGTTTTATCCATTAATCATTTTGAATGCATAAAAACAAGACAATATACCTAGGCGTATTATGCAGTAAATATATCAATTATCTATAACGAAAATATTTATAATTTGTCTAAAGACGCAGTAGCATTATAATCTTTCGCGGAAATAAAGTAAGAGAGAGAAAGAGAGAGAGAGAGAGAGACAGAGTATAAAAAATCACGTGTTGCACAACGAGAATACTTGGTACATGTCGTTCGCATGCCTTACTCATCAAAGTCGAAAGGACATTTAATCGAGGAAACGTGTGCCATACCAATTACATTTGAGAATCAAGATAATTCCTTAGTCGTCTAAGCTTACCTTGGCATCAAGGTTTCACCGGCTCGCATCGTCTGTCGTTTTCACGCATCCATGCAATATAACAAGACATACTTTCGGACTATATATCATGTTATTATTTATTATTATTTTGTTCATTGATCGACTCATGAAAATAGATTCCTATCCAAATTCGCTTTCATAAGCATCATCGCACAATAAATAGGTTGAAAGTAGGATGGGACGAGATGAGGGGAAAGGGATTTTTGAAAAGGGCGATTATGTAAGTCGTAAGAAAAGAACAGGACGAATGGAGGGTTTTTCAATGGCTCAAGGCCAATATGGGTAACCTATTCTAGCCAGCGTGGTGCCAGCCAGATGAAATTTTCTAGATCGATGGTTACCATAACTACCACCGGTAAGATTACCCTTCATTATTTTGCAACCCCCATTACCTTTTATGTAACCGTTGGTTACAAAGGCCTCACCTCTCTTTTCTAAGCGATTAAAGGCATGAATTCTGTTCGGCTTACGTCGGGCTTCTACCGGACTTTTGCACGATCTTCCGTCAAGTTATAGAGATAACCAATTTAAACGAATGATTTTCATGATTTTCATGATTTTCAAATAATGACCATATATACGGATAAATCTTGTACGTATGACATGATCTGACTAATCAAATTTCAATGTTATACTTTAATATATAGACATAGAAATAAATTAGGTTAAAAGAAATGTAATCGAAAAAGTTAACGAGCACGGAACATGAGACGCGTGATTTCCTAGAAATTTATGTAACTTCAAGCGTTTATTTTTGTTGTTCACACATATGTAAGTATTTACGTACATAACTATGTCCATTAACGTCTTTAAAACGTCTGTCATAAATAAAAATGTTACGTGGACGAGTCCTCGAATGGACTTTTAGTCGAAGCTTTTCAACTTCGATTGGGCTTGAACATTAGTTAAGTACACATCAAAAGATCGCCAAGAATGTTGCCACAATTATCAAAGTATATGGATAAACATATCATAAATTTCATATAAATTACTAAAATACGCGTATAAAGGCAAACATTAGAAAAACGGATTGATGGAACCACGAATTCATATTCATCTAATTTCGATCATCTGCTATCGCGTTTCTCCCTTATCTATTCGTTCGTTCGTACATTTGGTTTTAGTTTCAATGACCTAATCGACCAATCTGCTTCTTTCTGTCCAACATTTCTAGTTTGAAGATCGATGTTTGTAGCTTTTAGTGGGTCATTGGGAAACGGATGCGAGGGTGCGGCATTTAACTAAACGCCCAGTATATTTGTGCTGGTTAAATTAAAGACGACTCATCTTTCCCATGACAGGTCCCATTTATCGATACGTTTCGATTGCCCTGGAATTGTGCTCAAGTTGTCTCTACAAAAGCACAACAACTCCACAACATATTTACGGAGAAAATAATAGATATAACAAAATATCGATGGGAGCAAGCACAATTAAAGTACAATTGGAAGTATCGAAAGGGAGATAAAAAGTAAGCAAAAGAGAAATGACTAATCGTCAATCGAAGCGAGAATACCGCAATAAACGCATCCGGACCGTTTCTTGTCGAGGACGTGACATCGAAGTTGCCTGTCACATACGTTCGTTATTCACGTACTTATTTTTCACACTCACAGATAAATATGACGTTCGTAATCACATCCGCTCTTATACTACTCTTTTACTGTGTTTCTAAAAATACAATTTCGATATAAATATGCGATCAATAATATATATTAATAATAATATAATATACTTTGAGAATGGTATTTTCAAATAATTCATCATAGAAATTTCTATCTTAGCTTCTAAATAACATCCACGTTCTATTATCTCATCCGTTGTAAACACCTGTAATATATTATGCTAATTGTGTTTGTCGTTAAGCAACAACGACGCTCGCTTGATTTCATTTCAACGTTACATGAGTAAATGAGGAGGATACGATATTTGATAAAGATCGTTTCATTATTCAGTTGGAATAAGGTAAACATAAGGATAAAAAAAAAAAAAATAATAAAAAGTCACTTAAAAAAGCTTGTTAGACCGAATTTGAAATTTGATTGAAAACGATTTACTATGTAGTAGTACCTATCTTTATAAACATTGAAACGAGCAAGCTTGAAATTCTTCAAAACCGTAGACGTGTATGTGTACATGCGTAGAAGAAGGGGAAAGGTTGTACAAAATATTGAAGAAATTTAGCAGAACATGCTAATAAGTGGTTCTCATTGGTATTTGTACCGCGAATATATTGCAGTTATTTGTACAACACGTAGCATAAGCAGTCTATCGTACCGTTTTTAGCGGTTCAAATCCTTTGATAGACGTGAAAGAATGCTGGGTCGTCGTTAGTTGACACCCTTCCCCGCTCATTCTCTCGTTCTCATTAGTTAATTAGAGAGTATACAAGGACTGTGTCCCTAATTCGCAACTTGCTTCTAACCGCTCATACTATCGAAACGATAAAAATATGGAATTATTTGAAAAAGTCGGCACAATAACAATTTTTCGTTTATTCGATTCAAATAAGTGCAATCATCTGCTCATTGAGCAAAATTAATGACTAATGTTTAGAAGACAAATATTGCCGATGACTCGATATTAACATAGAAAGAATATTGTTGACAAAAACAGTCACAATAGTCATTTGCATAAAGGTTGATTCACGAGCATGTGGCAAGCCACGCGAATCGATTCAATTTCTAAGTGCGACAGACGAAATTTCAAGCATTCTCTTTTTTTGCTTCTTTTTTGCCTTTTTTTTGCACGAGTGAGAAAAAACGTCAACCATAAAGGTTGAAAGCATTAATAAAAGAAGGCGTTTACGATCTATCATTGAACAGTATGACGGTATAGAGAATACTATGTCAAGGAAATCATCCATGGTACGTGGCTGATAAAAAAAAGAAAAAAAGAAAAAAAAAATAAAGACTAATACAGAAATCTTAGGTTGTAGAATAAATCTGTGAAACGAAAAAGGTATTCTCCTTTGCAGAGTGATGTAATCTCATTAAGGAGAAGATCGCTTACTCCAAGATTTCATAAAACGATCATATCGCATGCGCGAAGCGAAAGGAACATTTTCACGTTTTTTTTTTTTTCTTCTCATACTTAATAAAAAGAACTGTAAAATTTTCCTACGCTTATATCGCATAAAAATAAATTTACGTAGAAATCAAGTGAAGATAAGTATTATTTTCCTGATTCATTGTTAATGCAACTACGAAGAAAAGAATCACGGTAAGAAGGTGAGTCATTTCTCATCCGTTTAAGGAATTACATACAAAGAATCGACAATCGAGGATGTCAAACATCATTTTTGACCTCGGTAATACGTTAATTTCTACTTTCTTATTGTCTTTCGACTTTCGAAATTTTCCCGCGTACATATCGAATAGAGTTACGTCAGTTCGATTGTTTTCGTACAAACGCACGATTTCGGATATGCCAATTTTCATCTTGCGAAACTGATTAAAATATCTAAAGGATTCCATAGATCAAGAATTGAACAACAAGAAAATAGAAAAAAAGAACGATAACGGATATACTCGTTTGCCGATATCTATCTACGAACTACAAAGCGAGGCAAGTTGCACTCTTGAAAGTTTATTATGTAATAGAAGCATATGCGAGTTCCTCTGCGTACCAAGTTATATTCTAACTTCTAACCCACCGAATTGATGCAACTTTCAAAAATATCCATGTCGTCTTTTCGCGAACTCCTGCATCTACTTTATCTAACTACAAACGGAAATTATCGTCAATTTTTGTAACTTGAGATTAAAATGGTCTGCTTCCTTATAAAGATTGTTTTCTTTCTTTTTTTTTTTTTTTTTTCGATATAATGTTTAACTTTTTTCTAATGTTAAAATAGGATCCAACATACAGGTGAAATAATAAAAGAAAAAAGAAATAACGTTTCTCTGTTCTAGGTACGTTTAAACTCTCTCGAGGTCGTGTGGCGTATTCCATCTTACGTCACGCACGAATACTTTCGTGATTAAATATGGCCCAGGATATGTAGATATATTTGAAATGTACCTATGGCATAGTCCCCCCACCCCCCAGCCCCATCATGTCAGTTAGTATATAAGAATAAAAGAAGTATGAAACGCGGTTAGGAGAACGAAGGCTAGGGTTGCGCGTTAGCTTGGGAAGGGGTAAATAGACGTAGATAGGTTTGGTTTCTTCTCACGACGGCGTTTGATCGTTCGCGCGCGTCTCTCCGGGGTGGGGTGCATCGGTAGACCTAGGAGAGATAAAGAGAGAGAATAACTAAGCTTCGACTCGGACTCTTCTCTTGGTTTTCATCGTCAGTCAAATTCCGAACGTAAGCGCGCGCGCAACGTTTCAACGTTTAGTAGTTTTTCTCTTCTCTAAAACTGCCAGGCACGCTTTTATTCAATTTTGGTTGGTGCCACCAACCAAACGAAATTAAGATTATAAATAGAAAAAGAGTAAGAGAAATTGGGTAATATTAGAGCTCGCCACAGCTCTACGGAAATAGATATATCTAGGGCCTTTTCCCTATAGAGAACGCGCGCTCCTCCTTAGTGCGCAAGGGGGTGAGAGGGAAGAGAATTGTTGTTTCAACAAATTCATTAAAATGAAGGGCCTGACTTTGTCCTTGCTAATTCTGACGGTGGTGGCAACGGTTACAAGGGTCGCGAGGTGTTACGAACCTTTCCAAGTGATCTTTCAATGGAACACGATAGATGTGGTCTGGCCGACGGAAGAGATGCGCCAGTTCGCCCTTCGAAAGGGTGATTACGTACCGGCTAACAATTTGATTTCCGGTATAAAGTTTTGGAAAAATAAAATGTATTTAACGGTACCAAGGTGGAAGAGCGGAGTACCGGTTACATTAGGCGTCACGTCGGCGATCCCGATTGAAAGAAATACGGCGCCAAAGTTGGAGGCTTTCCCTAGTTGGGCCATGCAAAAGGTCGGCGATTGTAACGCCTTTCAATTGGTTCACGGCATGGAGATAGATCCAAAGGGTCGAATGTGGGTACTTGACACTGGAAGGCCCGCCGCCTTGACCTTGGACAGCAAATCCGAGTGCAAGCCTCGCTTGGTCATTTTAGATCTCGAAAATAAGGGAGAAATACTTCGTAGTTACGAATTCCCGGAAGATGTTGCTCCTCGTGCTACGGCCTACCTGAACGACATCGTTTTGGATCACGAGGATGGCGGTATGGCTTATATAACCGACAACGGAAATAACGATCCCGGTATTATCGTTTACTCTTTGAAAAACAACACGTCTTGGAAGATTAGACACGAATCGATGAAAGCAAAGGCCGAGGCTGTAGGCTTTATGGTTTCTAAAACTCACGTTATATTACCGATTCACGTTGATGGAATAGCTCTCTCGCCAGCGAGCAGCAAGGACAGACATGTCTACTATTCTCCCATCTCTTCCTTTCACCTTTATTCCTTGCCGACTTCCGTTTTGAAGAATAATACGAAGGACGTCAATCGATACGTCAAAGAACTCGGTCGTAAGAGCTCGCAGACCGATGGCATGGCCATGTCCGCTACCGGTGTACTTTATTTCGGTCTTCTCGCGGATGACGCCGTTGCTATTTGGGACACCAAACAGTCGAACTCTTTTACCACCGGTCAAAGGATCATATCGAGGGATCACACTCATATGCAATGGCCCGATACATTCGCTTTTGACGAAGACGGTAACTTTTACTGCGTTACCAATTCCTTCCAAAACTTTATCAACAATCTCGTAGACGTCAATGTCCCCAATTATCGTGTCATTAAGACACGAGCCTTATCAAAGAGTTATCAATATTTCGAAGATGGTACGGCACCGGAACTACCAAATATCACAGCTGGCGTTGCTGGACTTTCCGTCCTTCTTTCTACGATATTATTCCCTCTTTTCCTTCTACATATTTTCAATTAATTTTTCATTCCTCCGTCGATCCATCCATCCATCCATCCATCCATCCATCCATCCATCCATCTATCCATCCATCCATTCATTCATCAATTTGTTCATGAACGATTAGTCGAGGATTGGGACATACTGCGTATATGGGGCTATGTGAATTACGATCGTACGACGTACGACTCAGCAGCAGCAGCAATTGTGCCGTCAGAATATACTTATTCGATTCGATTTCGTCTTACATTAATATTATTATATCGGTTAATTGTATTCCCTACACTTACAAGCTACATAATCAAATCTATTTTAGATTGAGTCGATAAGGATTTTTTAAACGATGACGACTTCAACGTTGACATTCCAATATAAATATAATCCTTATCGACTATGTAATATTGCTATGATATGCGCATTACTATGCATTTTCTTGTTGTCTCAAGACGTAGCACAACAACCGCAACGCATTTTTCTACTTTCGTTTAATAATTGTCAAAAGGAAAGAAGAAGACGAAAAAACTACCTCGATATTCTTAAATATTTCAAAATGATATCAATAGAGACAAAACTGTTCAAAGTGAAATAACTTTCAATTTAATTATTAGCTATTATCGTAATAAAAAACATCAAGCAAAAGTACTTAAACGCGAGACACCACTGGCGACACGACGCACGACCTCGTTTCACGCATAAACTTTGACTAGAGGTTCGACATTAGAAAACATCAGTGACGAGAGAAAAAAAGAAAGAAAATCAAATGAGAGAAAGAGAGAGGAGAGAGAGAGAAGAAATCACTAGTAGAACTCATTGTCAGTAGTCAAGAACATTCTTCTTACGCATTCAATGCATGAAAGGAGTAGAGAAGAAAAATAAAAAGAAGAAGATGAAGAAGAAGAAGAAGAAGAAGAAGAAGAAACTTGCTTGGAATACTTTGTTACTTTGACCCGAGTAATCGCGTCTTGCTTTTTGAACATATGTGTCAACGAATTTATAATACACGATAGTTTTTCCGATCTCTAAAAACACAAACAATCATTCAATAAATCTCGACGATGATTAAATTCATTATTTTCTTTTTTAATGAGAATGTAAATGTGATCGTCGAGTCGATATGCGAGTACAAGGTGTGGAAATGTTTTATTTACAATTTAAAAAGGAAACGTTGGGAAGAAGTTGGCTCTTTCTCACAATTGTGTTTGCCTTTGGATACGCACGAGACGATTCACGTTCTACTTTTGCTTTCTCTCTCTCTCTCTCTCTCTGTGTTTTTTTGCAGGTAGGAGCCTCGCCTACCTCGTTTCGCGTTATAAACGATGACAAAGCGTGTGCGCGCACACGCCGGAGCTGAGGGTGAGGCTCCACGAATGACGAAATCTTCCTTGGGAAAATGCTCTCGTAATCCAAAGATATATATTAATTGGAGATAACGTTTGTACGATGCACCGAGATCTCACCTTTATTACTTTTCTTCCTCTTTCCTTTTTTCTTGTTTTCTTTACTTAACTACGTTTACATTGATTATATTATTTACGCTTTGCGTAACCTTTGCCGTGCTAACGTTACCAAGTGAAACTTCAAGAAAGTATTGTAGGATGAATACTTTTTCTCCTCGTCGTTCGGAATAATTAACTTTCGTTGTCAACAACGACAAGGGGATACAATTGAACGAGCTGCATTCGATAGCTATACGTCATATTTACAAATTGCATAGCTTCGCAAAGATACGCAGGTGTATTAGAAATATAAAAGAAAACCTTCTTTACATTATTACAATATCGTCAGAAAAGTCGATGCATTTTAATGATACGAATGTCGCTCATATTGTGTAGAAAAATTGTGTAGAAAAATTGTGTAACCAAAATTCAGCTACCAAAGAACCACTGGACTGTTTCGGCTTTCAGTCTTGCTGATCGATGCATTTCTTTTGTTTTTTTGTTGTTGATTTAATGTCGTTAATTTTGTAATCTTGTTTTTTCACATAAATTTTGATATAAATCAGTATGTCAAGTTATTATTATTCTACGAGGATCGCTTCTACATATAGTTATTACATATCAAGAAACCTAGTGATGTTATTGTGTTAGAGCAAACATTTCTCGGATGGAGATAATCAATTTGATTATCGAATTTCGAAAATTTCACACGTTATAAATTATCATGCAAAACGAAACAAATTAAAAATGTAATGCATGTCGATGTAATTAAGCTTTAAAGGTAATGCGAATAATATTCAAATCGAATAAGCAAATGAAATTAATATATATTTTTGAATATATGTATATTATATAGGTGACTCAACCGCTATATATAGATATATATGACGAATAAAAGACGAATAAATATACATATATATATCGTACATGATTAACAACAATTTTTCTTAAAATATATATATATATATATATAGATAATACTGTTACTATTATCTAGCCTTTATTTAAAATGATAATTTATCAATAAAGAGACAAATTCAGCATTTCCTTATGATCTTTTTGGAATCCTTATTATTATAATTTAATTAACTATGTAATATGTAGGAGGATAAGTTAATACGTTAACCGCGCTGCTAGATGGCGTGCTGTCGTGTCATTCGAGCGCCTAAAAGTATGCAATTCTTAATACGCGCAGCATTGTTCGGTTGTTTTCGTAAGTAGTCGTGCAACGAGACCTCGTGTCGGATAAAATAACTCGTAAAATAAGGTTAACGATATAATTTATAGAAAATGTTGTAAACTCAAGTTACATAGTAAACAAATAATGTAGGTAGCGTGAAATAATGGATATGTATAATTATTATACTACACTTGGTTGTACCGTAGAATCGTCGTACAATGATATTAAAAATGCATATTATCGTCGTGCGCGTGAACTTCATCCAGATAAAAACACCGGAGAAGAAAATCGAGAAAAATTTCAACGTCTTGCCGAAGCTTGGTCTATCCTAAAAGATCCCGAGTTGAGACAAAAATATGACAGCGAATGTAAGCAAGCGGAATTAGAATCTAATAACATTGTTGTTCATGCGACTGTACAATTACATGAATTAGAAGCAACAAATGATGACAACGTATTAAGTTTTCCATGCAGATGTGGTAATTATTACAAAGTAGACAAAGAGATGCTCAAAGAACAAAATTGTTCAATTTACGTGTCTTGTGAAGAATGTACTTTTATTATCATTGTTAAAACATGATATATTAAACAGTTTCCAGAAAGACAAATATTCTGCACTTAATGTGTAATAACGTTATAGGATACAATTGTTGTTGGAGTATTAAAGCGTTAATGCAATTGTCAAGAAATCAATGGAAAACAAAGTTTGAACTGTAAATTGTACAAGTTTTAAATTCCATCTTTTATTCCATAGCATATATCTTGTTGATTTTGAATAAATGTTCAAACTTTCACAGTTTGTTTGAATTTTCACGCGCTTTTACTCCTATTGTTGTTATAAAAATAAATCTAACTACGCATCGCAGAAAATTGAAATATACTGTGTTCAAATATACATACGTATATACACATGTAGTATATAGGTTTTGTCCATTTAATTTCTTAGTTGTTGCTACATTTCCAACGTTAAAAAAATATTATCTATTTATATAGGAGAAACTAAATGTACAGATTCTATTTTACTCTTAGACAAATCTCATTATGACAGAATATAGTAAATAAAAATACGACTTTTCTAAAATGGAGTAACATTTTTCTATTTCTTGTAAAAAATGATACAACAGATAACACATCCTTATAATATAAACTATTAAGCAATATACAAATAAAACACGATCCTTAGAATAACCAGGGTTCAATAATAAAAGATGCAAATACAAAAGAACAAATGAATATATTGAAGATTTTCTACTTTTCAATGATACGTTATTGTCTAAATCGATCGAATTAATGGATAAATCCTTAATTGTGGAATAATAAATGTCCCTAAAGATCGTGATGATTACACAAGCGACTTTATGAAATTCAATTATACATCTTTATCATATGCAGGGGGATAATAATATGCAGCTCTTATTATTGGCCCTTTGTAGAAAAGAAAAGAAAAGAAAAGAAAAGAAAAAAAAAAAGAAGAAAAAAATACTTGAATGAATTATCGAAAAGATACTCCTATTATGTAACTTTCGATGCGAGCCTTTTCATTACATTTACTTCCAATCATTTATATAATCATTTACGTCACGATTTACGTTACGATTGCTTACATAGAATAAATAAATCCTTTTGCAATAATTCTAATGATCCGCTGATTTGTAGATATTTTTTTATAATTATATAAAAAAGTCATTTTAATTTTTTGAATATAATCAATGATGGAGATTTTAATCGCCACACATATGGGATTACACCTAATGAAAATATTTATATATCACAATATACATATATGCCTATTTTTAACGTAAATATATAAAAACAAATTTAAGTCATATTCAGCACGATGCAATTCCAAAATTGCAATTAAGACCGAATTATGTTTCCTCAATCATTTCTATACACGTCCAATTTGTTAGATCAAATTTTGTACATTTTCAAATAAATTAAATTCTTTCTTTCATTTTCAATGTTGAATGAAGACGTTGAAATGAAATAAATTGCAACTATTTACCTAACGATTTACTAATATTCATAACATTATACATCATTATATCCAAGTGATAGTTATAAAATCTAAATCTTTGTGTCCTCCCATATGCGTATCTTTATCAGTCTCACAACAACGTATTTCCCTTCTTAAAGAAACATTATTTTTCTAGATACAGATGGATACCTAAATAATGCGGCATGATTTCTTGATCTTTGCATTTAGATTAAAATAAGATTCAATTTAGATTAAAATTAGATATAAATTCTTCAATAAAATAAAAAAGAAAAATATAACTACGTGGGCAATGAAGTCATTAGTTATTTAATTTGGAATTTGTTAAATAACCCTTTCATTATATAGTATCGATAAAACCTTTTTTTTTTATATTGTAACAAATTAGATTTTTCTTGGTTTTTCTCAATAGGAATATTTTCAACAGCCCACATAAACTTACAATGACAATTTCAATATAAAAGAATGATCATGCCTCTTTTATATTCATAATAGTTCTGATAAATTCAATAACAGCAATAATTCAGTATTACACTTGTAAAGCTCTCATTTTCTGGAGGCTATATTGAGTCTTTTAAATCTCATATTTGTACACTGCAATTGATACACCTTGCAAGTTATCTACTTAATCCCGTCAATGTTAGACAACTCATCTAATTAAAGATTGCGCATAATGTCCAAAATTGACTTGAACCAACTTCTTCAAATTTCCACCGTACAACAGTCTTATCACAATCACACCATGTAATACATGAAACATTGTACAGTAAATTGGTTATGCTACCTAATAAAAGTATGTACAGAAGTCGTACAAAGGATCAGGAATCCAGTCTGTGAGAAAGTGCTATTTTATCTCTACATCAAAATCGAGAACAAGAAGTTTAGTTTCCTCCGTACCATTGCGACTACCAACTGCACACACCAATTTTGTATCACTTGCACGTATTCTCCATACAACTCCACCACTCCCACCACTTTCTAAAGCAACTAGATTTCTTATAAAATCACCTAAATCAATACACACACAAAAAAAAGAAGGCCATTATGATATGATATGATGATTAGACACATATAACATGATAATAATTGGTCGAATAATTTACGTACCAGTTTTGACATCCCATAGCTTAACTGTACCATCGTCGGAGGATGTAATCACAAAATGACTATTGAACTGAAGACAAGTAACCGCCGACTGATGTTTATTTGGACCAGAAAGAGTTTGAAGGCAGTGCCCGCTAACAATGTCCCAAACCTTGACCGTAGAGTCTGCATTTCCAGACACCAAAATATTATTACGCAATTCCATACCTGAAGTAAGCGACTGATGACCCATAAGAGTATGTCTACAAGCACCAGTTTCCACTTCCCATACTCTTATACTCGTATCCAGTGATCCGCTAACAACATGCACACCATCGAACTAATAAGGAAACAGGATAGATAGATATATATATATATATATGTATGTATGTATACATATGTACGTATGTGTATATATGTATACATATATACGTATATATATATATATATATATATTTTAATAATTATACAATTGGAAAATTGTATAAAATTGTATAATATTGATATGAAAAGTATTTACCTGGAGGGAATAGACGCGATTGGTATGTCCTTGCAATGTATGAAGGCACTCCTCGCGTTCGGGATTCCATACTTTAACCATATAATCATAAGCTCCACTTACAACTAATTTTCCATCATATTGCACACACCTGACAGCTGCCAAATGGCCCACAAGTACGTGAAGGCATTCACCAGTGTCTATTTGCCACACTCTTAATGTGGCATCTCTACTACCACTAACCACTTTGTTTCCATATAAATGCATACATCTCACCGTCGATGTATGCCCATACAAAGTATGAATACACTGACCAGTCTCTGCATTCCATACTTTTAAGGTACGATCTGTACTACCGCTAATCACTATAGTTCCTGACATTTGAGAAGACCAGACACCTCCAGTGTGTCCAACCAATGTTCGTAAACACTACAAATAATAAAGATATTCGTATTATAGCATTGATTAGCTTTAAATTGTTATATTTCAATGTTCATATACTTATAGGGGATGGATATTTACCTTACCCGTAACGGCTGACCAAACTTTAAGAGTATTATCGTCGGAACCACTAACTATTCGATTGCCAGAAAACTGAAGGCATGTAATAACGTGATCATCGTGACCTTTAAGAACTTTTGGAGTACGGATAGGCTTTGTTCTCCAATTCATTTTGATATTGTGTTGTCGCATGTAAGCTTGTTTCCACGGTGACGATGAATTTCCAGGATTTCTTCCATTTTTACGTTTCCACAAAGGTAAATCTTTTAAATCATCTATACCAGCAGCTATACATTTCTCTTTCCAAAGTAAATTATCGTCTGCTAAAAATCTCCAATTTCTACATGTCTGAGCTGCACGTAATAAATCTCTTGGTTCTAAGAAAGCCAATACTGATAGGGCTAATTCTTTTGGCAGTAAGGATATAAAATCCCTTTGAAACTGTGGTTCTATAACTTGCATCATATGACGGACTTGCGTTGGTTCGCATCTTTCTATTAATTCATCTATAGCTAGCATTCTTTCTGCATTTGACCACCTCTAAAAATGTAATAAAGCGTATAAGATGTAATAAAATGAGTTCGAGAGATTTGACATTACATATATATGATATATATGTAAAAACATACTTGAAATTGTAAAAGCCAACTATTCATTTCGGGCGGTGGATTATCCTTCGTCGGAATGATGCATCTAACGTGTTTAGCCTTATCATCCACTTTTTTGATATTCCTATTTCAAATAATAATACTCATTAGAATTAAATCTAACGCATGAGTTTTTAAGATAGCACATACATCATGTGAGATTTATCATCCGGATTAGGTTTCTTGCACGGTAAGCTAGATTCCGTTTCACTTTTTCGTTTTCTATGAGGTTGTACAATATCCAATGGAACGCATGTGTGTATTATAGTATGGCCTCTCGGCGGTAAGCATGCTTGAGTTTGTAACGCTGGCGACGAACAGCTACTACCTCCGATTTCTTCTTCACACTCAGCATCATAAAAAAGGCCAGACTCGCTAATCTGTTTTATCGTTCATTTTTATTATCAATTATGCTCTTAACATATTAATTATTATAATGTGTCAACTAAAGAATAAAAAAAAAAGAAAATAAGCTTACCTCGCTCTCTTCTTCGCTACTTTCATCCTCGTCATCTTCTTCATCCCCATATTCTTCTGATTCTCCATCTTGCGGATAGGTACAATGCATAGGATCTAAGGAACTAGGTCCAGGAACTACTTCGATACCTTCGACAGGACTTGGACTTGTACCTCCTGGTTTTCCTTCGCTAAGCTTTTTTGATGATGTAGAAGGAACAGACATTACTGTATTTTCTTTCTTTTAACAATCTGAAAAATCAAAACATAAATGTATAATGTGTTCAATGATTTTATATTGTGAAGAAAATATATATATGCCAGCTGAAATATTCGACACAATATACTTCCTTTTAAAGTTGCATTCTTTTATGATCAAAGAATTTAGATTTATCAGTTGTTTAATAAACACTGATAGTAGCAGTTAACAAATGATGCTTCATCAGACAAAATAAATATATTCAATGAAACTTTTGCTAGAGAATTGACAAATATCTTATATCGTACAATCGAATTTACAATTGAGATCAAAATAACATTAAATTGTTCTTTGGATTATGCATAACAGATCAATGTTCAAAGTTGTTAGAACGAAATCGGACTCGATGCACAAAATTGGAATCACTAATAGAATAATTATATTGTTCGACAATAAACACATATTATTAATTAACACAGAGGAGAAAAAAGTTGTAACCTTGATTATTTGTTGTATCTTTGCGTATAATTTGAAAGCTAGCCTAGAACACCTCGTGGCTCGGTTAAGCCACACCCCGTCACTTTTAGATTTTTTTTCTCAAATCAACTTAACTACCTGAATCGAAAGACGTGGAAAATACTTCATAAAGAATATTCATACTTGGGACACTTTTCTTCTTTGCCCTTCCTCAACGGAGTCAAACCTCTTGACGATGCAGCGTTGATAAAAGTCTATTATGTTTTTCTATCAACTGAACGTAGTATGCATGTTGTTTTTGTTGTAAGGACGATTTATCGATATGAAAATGTGAAAATAATGATATTAGGTAAAGGTAATATTTAAAAAGAGAGAGAGAGGAAGCGGTAAAATAAAAACAGGATAGACGTATAAACACGGCAAAGAACCCATCGGTAGCCCGTGGCAGCTCCGAGGTTGCTTTCCAAACTCCGGCGATATAGAAACTAAAAACATGCAATTTTATGAAAGCCAAACTCATCTAACTATATTACCCCATATTTCCCCTATGCGCAATTCCCTAAATGTCTCTAGATTTTCTAGTCTCGACATTCGTCGATTCAAAGTTTCTAGATTTATAAAAGTACATAATTGATTTTTTAAATACTTTCAGAATTTTCTCTTCATTATTTACTTTAATTCTATAACATTGTTATAGTAGATGTTAAATTAACAAAATAAATCATATTGTATTAATGTCAAAATTCGGAGACAAAAATTAATTGGAATTCTTTAAAGAGAGATTTTCGATCATGCATCACCATCTTTAAACTCTATATCATCTATGCATGTACACTCAGTGCATATATACTTTCATTTAAAAACAACATACATCATACATGCAACACATATGTACATTATTTAATTTATTTCATGCGGTGAATTACTGCATAAGGTGAGGTTATAATTTCATGATATGTACAATCAGAATGTTTGTTGATTATATTAAGTGTTAACATCTTTATTATTATAATAATGATTATGAAGAGTAATTATGAAAGGACATATTGTCTTTCATTTGTTTTTTTATATAGAAACTTGATGTAAGAAGAAAATGAATTGGTTATATAGTATATTTATTTATTCTTAATGTATTCGAGAAGGAAGATTTTTAATAAGAATGTTTTTTAAACCTTTATCACGATATTTTTGGAAGATGAAATGTATAAAATTACATTGTACGAATCGTTCCTATCACGTAGTAAATCAAAGTGATCAAGTATATAATGTTTCCTTAATAGGAATAAAAAAAATATTAAGGCAAAATAATATTGCATTTATGGAAGGTCATACTTGCATTTGTGTGGATTGTCCTATATGTGAAATGAATAAATGTACAAAAGGTCCGAAGATATATATAAATAAGACAACAGGTAAATACAAATTTGAATTTTCTAATTGATTATTATATGATGATTATTTCTAAGACAAATATTATATGCAGGATTCTTTATATGCGATAAATGCAGGTGCATTGGAACTTGGAACACATTAGAAAAAGTTTTATCGTTGAAGATAACTGGTAAAACGAATAAGGAATTGGAGAAATTGAAAAACAGTTTACTGGTAGATCAAAATTATACGTCTGAATGGACAATTCTAGAGAAAGATTGTTTAAAGATTTCTCAATTATCCACCAGTGAATACGAACAGATCTTTAATAAACTTTCCTTAAAGGTATAATTTAATAATCAATAATATTGTAATCAAGAAATATTCCATTTATTTATATGTACATATTTGTGAACAATCTTATTTACAGATTATATCTCGGGAAGATATATCTGCATTAGAGTGTTTATACCACAAAAGTAAAAATGTACTTTATTTTCCACTATATGCATTTGGTCAATACCTTGTCGGTTTTAAACAACTGTGCTTGAATACTAAAAATGAAGTAACTGTTCCTACTTCAGACGTCAGTGGTCTTATCATTTACAAGCAAAAAAATACAAGAAACGATAATACTGCCGTTGTTGTACCAACCATTACAGATTTGTTAGCATTAATATCTCAAAAAGTAACAAATCTCGTGGTATGTTTGCCATACAATTTACAATACTTACCCCAACAGGTATTGCCAAGTCTAGAAAATTTTAAAAAACTAACTTTATGGTTTGGAAATGAAGATTCAAGTTGGGATACAGCACGACATTTTGCCAAAAAACTGAATGAAGAAAGATGTTACTTTGTTAGATCAACGGATCTACAACCTAGACCATCAATTGCTGTTGATTTAGGATATGACATTAAAAATATTATACAAAATGCTCAGCCTATATGGCACCAAAGTATTACTACCTTCCATTCTTTGAGGCATGATGTTTTAAGCGATTTACAAAATATTGATAAAGTTCAAGGTATCAAATGGAAACGATATCCAGCTCTAAATCGTATTTTGAAGGGCCATAGAAGAGGAGAATTTACCATATTAACCGGTCCAACAGGTAAAATCACTATGCAGCGATACATATCATGTATCATGTATTCAATAAAAAATGTGTGTGTTTTTTTTAGGATCAGGTAAAACTACATTTATCAGTGAATATTCATTAGATTTGGCAATGCAAGGTGTTAACACATTATGGGGTAGTTTTGAAATTCGAAACGCACGATTAGCAAAAACAATGCTACAACAAATGGCAGGTGTCTCTCTTGATGATAATCTAGCTGATTTTGATAAATATGCTGATGCTTTTGAAAAGTTACCTATATATTTTATGACATTTCACGGGCAGCAAAGTATTAAAATTGTCATGGATGTAAGTTTATAAAAGTGAATGAAAGATTCAAACTCTTATGTAGATAATAATTAAACAAAGTACTTACTTGTTGCGTGTTTAGGCAGTGGAACATGCAACCTATGTACATGACATATCTCATGTGATCATTGATAATGTACAGTTTATGATGGGAATTTCTGATGAAGCTAAACACATAGATAGGTAATTCATTAATATTGATGAAAATAGAACTATGATTTCAATTCTTCCATTATTTGTATGTAGATTTTGGAGACAAGACAAAATAATTTCTGCATTTAGAAATTTTGCTACAAAATACAATTGTCACGTTACCCTCGTAATTCATCCAAGGAAAGAACGCGACGACGAAGAACTAACAACTTCATCTATTTTTGGAAGTGCTAAAGCAAGTCAAGAAGCTGATAATGTTCTCATTATACAAGACAAGAGACTTACTAGTATAAGAGGGAAAAAATATTTACAAGTAAGAATATATATATATATATATAGAAATTTTAATTTGATGCAAGAAAATTTCTTCAACAAGTATATAATCCTTCACTGTTCTTTTTTTTTTTTTTTTTATTTGATACTATAGGTAGCCAAAAATAGATACACCGGTGATTTGGGTATCATGCCTTTGGATTTTGATAAAACTAGTTTAAGCTATGCAAGTAAGAAAAAAGCCAAATCTGAAACTAAAAGTTCTACGAAATGTAATTCCAATGAAGAATTACAATCGTAGAATATACAATTGAAATTGGAATCAGGACAAAAATGAATGGATTTGTACAGTGAATATATTTTATATATTTGTAGAATTTTTCTGTAAAAAAAGTACAAAAAATATGTGTCAACATTTTGTAAAGAAAGTTTGTATTAAAAAAATATAAAATGATATTTTATATGAATGTTTTATTTGATGCAAATAATAAGACTATTTCAAAATATTGTATTTTATCTGATCATAGCTGGTAAGCTAAAGGGGCGTAGGAGGAGAGAGAGTTATAGAGGAGGAAAGAAAATAAAAGTAGTTCTTTAACACGTTCGCTACTAATATATTTGTTCATTCATCCGCTATTATAATCAATAATTTGTGGATGTTCTTCCATGTGATTTATCATCAACAATTATACTAATAACTATGTTCAATAAAATAATATTTCGATGTTTCATTTGTTTTTTGTTGATATCTGATTGCACATGGTTCATTCAATGTACCGAACGTTTGAAAAAGCCGACAGTACTGATAGCAATTTTAATTAGAAATAAAGCCCATACATTACCATACTTTCTAAGTTTGTTAGAACAACAAAACTATCCTAAAAATCGGATAACGTTATGGTAAGATAAAAATAACTTCTCTTTTCAAAGATATAATCATTTTAACCTAACTTTTCGGTGCATAATTATGTTTATGTCGGGGAGACGTAACTATAGTCGAGTTGTATACCATTTATGTACTAATCATTTTCTTTGATCTTTTGTAGGATTCGTAGCGATAATAATATTGATAATACGAGTGAGATATTGAGAGCATGGTTAACAGAAGAATCAGAAAAATATCATACTATCAATACGATTATAGATGACAATTCAAATGGATTTGAAGATGAAAAAAGTAGTACAGATTGGTCGCCTCTTCGATTCACACATGTCATTAATTTACGTCAAGAAGCATTGGAGTATGCCAGAAAAATATGGGCTGACTTTATTTGGGTACTTATCATTGTTCATAATTGCTAATCCAATTCAACATATAATAATTTAGAAATTTGTAGATGATCGATGCTGATACTTTTTTGATGGATCCAAATACTCTGACAAATTTAATATCAAAAGAGCAAGTTGTGGTTGCTCCTTTGTTAAAATCAGATGGATTATACAGTAATTTTTGGGCTGGGATGACCGATAATTATTACTATCTTCGAACAGAAAAGTACCAGCTTATTTTATATCGCGAAGATGTAGGATGTTTTAATGTTCCCATGGTTCATAGTGCTGTTCTTATTAATTTAAATATGGTACAATCAGATTTGTTGTCTTATAATTTTACAAATTTACCAAAGTATGATGGTCCTTTAGACGATGTTATAACTTTTGCTGTTGGTGCTAATGAATCAGGTAAATCATTGAGCTCGCATTTCTATTTTACATATATTATTCAAATAATACACACAAGAATTACATAAATATGCAGGTGTCCCATTGTATATCTGTAACGATCAATTATATGGATACATCATGGTACCATTGGGAGTAGATGAAACAATTAAAGAAGATCTTCAGAGGCTAACAAATATTAAATTACAAATGTTGTGTATGCACAATATTGATGTTTTTTATATTATCTTTATTATCCTTATATATGTTACATTTCTTTTTTTATTCAAATGATTTTAGCAGAAGATCATTTATCAATATCGAATAGTATGAAAAAATTCATATCTTTTCCAAAAAAAGACACTCTTGGGTTGGACAATATTTATATGATTAATCTTTTAAGAAGATCAGAGAGACGTACTAGAATGTATCGTCTTTTTGAAGAACTCGGCGCCCAAGTAGAAACTTTTAATGCAGTGGATGGCAGGTAAATTTCATATAATACGGTGTACTTTTTATATTTACTTTGAATACTTCCGAATATCTATTTCCTAATATTGTAGCCAGTTAAGCGAAGAAGATCTAGATAATTTGGGTATAAAATTAATGGCAGAATATGAAGATCCTTACCATAAAAGGTATTTTTCAAAAGTAAAACATTATAAATACGTTTAAAGAGAAAATATTCTACATACATGTAGATGTATTTTTAATTGTTCATAGACCTATGACAACTGGAGAAATTGGTTGCTTTTTAAGCCATTATTATATCTGGAATCAGGTAATGTAACAGAATTTTATAATAGGCTAATAATAGAATGAAGACACTTATTACTGATAATAATCAAATAATCAGGTATTAAAAAATAAATACGAACGAGTTATGATTCTGGAAGATGACATTAGTTTTGAGCCATTCTTTCGACAGAAATTGTATTTTCTTCTATCCGAATTGAGTACATTACAGATTCCATGGGATTTAATGTAAGAGCTTGTATAGAAAATGTTTATTATGTAACTTTTAGAAAATAACTGCTATAATATTACTGGTACTTTATAGATACATAGGAAGAAAAAGATTAATAGAAGAAGATGAATCGTGGGTAGAAGGTTCTAAGTATTTGGTTAATGCAGCATATAGTTACTGGACTCTCGGTTATATTTTATCAGCTACTGGTGCCAGAAAACTTGTTGCAGCTGAACCACTTCAAAATATGATACCTGTTGATGAATATATTCCTATTCTATCAAATGCTCATCCAAGGTAAGCCCAATGTTTATTTCAAATAGAAAAAACATCATGTTTTGATGTTTTCATGTTTTTATTTTCAATATAAAGAGAGGATTGGAAAAAGCATTATCCAGTACGTAATTTGAGAGTGCTATCTACAAATCCTCTTTTGATACATCCTACTCATTATACGGGTGATCTGGGATATATAAGTGACACAGAAAATTCAAAGATCGTTTTTGACAATCAAGGAAGCAATATTTTGAAAAATCGAGACGAATTATGAATAATTAAAAATGTTCTATATTTTTTTAACATAACACTATACAATTAGATGATATTTTACAATAATGCAATTATCTCAATTTGCTATATATTATTATTGGTAAGTATTTCATGATTTATGCTTCTACCTATATTTCTTTTGTATTTTTCTTACAAGTACATAATCGCGTGCCATAATATTTATTTTAACCGATATATATATATATACATATATATATATATATATTATTATTTTATGTTAATAAAGAGAAGTTAAGATTATAACGTTCTATATTTGTATTCTAATGTATTTTTTTTATCACACCTGTTCAGTGATAACTTCGAGTGTTATATTTTGCTGTAATATAAAAAAAGTGTATTAGAATATAAAAATAATTGTTAATTAATCGATGGGAATGTTTATTGTTGTCTAAAAGCTCGAATTATATGATCGAAGTACCATCCTCTTCTAAATCCGCCGTTAAACTGGCTCATTGCTCTCTGTTTAAATTCCTTCGTTAAATGTTGTTGTTTACATGATAGGAATAATATATTCGTAATAGATAAAACAACATTGAATATAAAAACCTTTGTACGATCCGAAATGATCGTACGGTAACTAACTGTATTCAAAATACGCGCGTCCGATTCTATCGATTAAGATTTTAGATCGAAGCGCAACGATAGCTACCCCATATATGAGCAACCCTATGTAGTTACCACCACCTCTCGCATCCCCATTATATGCACCCTGCTGGGCCAGTTGAAAGGACCATTCTTCCTATTTCATCACCGGACGCCGACGACGACGACGACGACGACGACGACGACGACGACACATCTTCAGCACCTAAGGACCATAGAAGCAGCCACAAGGAACAACAAAGCGAACAACCTTTTCAGTTGTGATCGCGACGTGAGGCGTGCGAGAGCACATACATAATTGTCAGAGGACTCTTAACTAAGGAATTTAGGAATTAGGAATTAGAAACTAGGAATTAACTTCTTTTCGCATACGAAGAGTGGACCACATTCGCGATCAAAATCGAAGCTATTTTCAAATTTACGGCCGCTATGTCCTATCTCGTCAGACCCAAATGACTCAACAGCATTAAGGCCTGCACATGTTTTTAGTTTAAAGACCAGTTACGACATTGCCGGAGGAACATTATATTGAAACGTTCTCATTGATGCAATAATCCCCCATTGAGAACATGTTTTATTCCTCTTAACTGAGGAATTTAGGCCCCAACAACCTTCATAGAGGACAATGAATGTATCAGTCTAACAGTAGACTTCGAGGAATACGGTACTCCGATCATATACTGAGTGTTTTCAGATAACAATATACATTCTTTTCATTTAATTAATAATTAATTACGGTACATCGAACATAATACTTTACTCTATTAATATTTTTAATTTTTTTAAGCTGAATTATATTTGTTTTAACGGTCCTGCGCAGTGATGACTTCAAGGGTACAATTTTTCTATAATGTTAGTAGAGTGTTTTAGAATATTGAAATAATTATTAATTATTCGAAGTAAATGTGCATTGTTGTTTAAAAGCATCGTAGATACACCGTCTCCCTCGAAATTTACCTTCAGACTGACACGTTGTTGTCTTCTATGAAAATTTTTTTTATTAAACATTGTTTATATGACTTTCCAAACGTTGCGCATGAGCATAACACATTTATTACAATATAACTTGATTATATTATATACTGTATTCGCTTGAAGTTGCAACTATCGCCTGCTGGTGATCCCGGTGATAACTAAGAAGATGTTGGTTACACGAAAAGTAGACTTGTGAGCTTCTATGTACTACAGCTGTATTCTTTAAACATATCCATGTGGTATATCTAAAGGTAACCGAGTTGGGGTTGTTCGCCGCGTCAATAATGGCGGTTTCCGGCGGCACGGCTATCAAAGGATATAGATATGGATATAGACATAGAGTCGACCGACTGCTAAACTGTGATACAAGTCTGTGAACGCAACACGGATATATCTTGAAATATTCGTCAAGGCAATCGTTATATATCACGTTTTTGCGAAGAGAAACGTGTTAGACAGACCTAAAGTTAGACAATCAAAAACGTTTCTACGTTTCGTGGGATGTGGTTCTTCCGCATTTGTGAATAGTCAAACAATTTTCGATGCGAGACGTATGTAGTGTTTCTCAAATGGAGTTGACTGTACAATCGTGACTTTCGGCTTCGAACAGACTGACTGCAGTTTACACAACATCTCAGATTAAGTTTTTAACTGTTCCATTTAAACGTGCGATCCTTCCATCAAAATTACCATATCATGGCCTCATCAAATAGAGGTATTCAAATTGGTTCGGCCTGGTATCAAACTAATATTAAGCTAAGACCACAACATCGTGGCATACATCTTGTTACCGAAGAAATTTTAAAACAAATTCCAGAACTATATCAGTTCTCTGTTGGTCTTTGCCATATACAGAGTAAGTCATTTTCTTTCCCCAAACGACCTTTCTACTATTCTATAATCTATATAATAACGTATATTACATCTATATTACATTATAGATATATATGTATATGAACTATAATTGTGTGTGTATGTGTATAATTTATATATATATATATATATAAAATGTAGACACAAATTCGTAAATATTGTTAACTGTAAATACTTATTATAACATATACCACAATCAATTTGGTATTCATATATATATATATATATTAAAGCATAAAAGATGTTTTCTATGCTGTGTCATAGCTTTGCTTTTTATTTTTTGAGATAATATTAAAAAATCAATAAATAGTTATTATTAAGTTGTTTTAAATATGTTTATATTTGAAATTTAGTTGAATAAAATGTAAATTATGTAGAATAGAGATGAGAATGTTAACAACAATTATTGCCAAGTCATGCACATATACAATATGTATATATGATACTTTCAGGAAAAGAAGTTTTAGGAAGTATATGAAAAAAATTGATTTCTTTAATTACCTAACTGTTATTTGATTTTTTAATCTAGCATATGTATATATAAGAAGGTTTTTAAAACAATCATGTTTACTTTTTATACTAGTTCTTCATACATCAGCTAGTTTAGCATTAAATGAAAGCTGGGATCCTGATGTAAGAGATGATATAGAAATGATGCTTAACAAAATAATTCCTGAAGGATTAGACTATAGACATGATTGCGAAGGTCCAGACGACATGGTAAATTGTATAATTTTATAATAATTATCAAATATTATAATATAGTTATAATAATTATGATTAAAATTGTGTTTTTTAGCCGGCTCATGTAAAAGCATGCTTTTTGGGATCTTCATTAAGCATTGCAATTACGAATGGAAAGTTAGCTCTTGGTACATGGCAAGGTATTTGGTTTTGCGAACATCGTGATAATGCAGGAAGTCGCAAATTAATCATAACGTTGACCGGTTGTCTCAGGGATTCAGCACGTACCCCTTTAAGTCCCGTCAGCCCTATTGCTTCTACCAGCAGCTAGGACCAATCACACCCCCAAAGGTGTGGCAAACGTCAGCTGCACATATCTACTTCTAGTAATTTAAGCTAGCAGCTGCTTAATTAAGAGTAGAATCGAAGGAAGAGTGAGTGGATACTATGTAAACACATAAGAACTGTATATATATATATGAATCTTTATATTGAACAAATTGCTGGGAAATTGGATTAATTTTTAGAGTCATACTTTAGATATTCGATTAAATCATTACAACACCGTTATACAAACAGATAACATTATTTGTTAATTTGATTTTATTGTTTTGTTTCTTTTTTTAAGAATAAGGTACAATCGAAATGAAATATTGGGATTTATTAGCAACAATATCCCTTTGAGGAAGATGTCTGGATACACTACTTGGAACCTTAGTTCTTCCTCGCTTGTATCAAACCCACCGAATACTGTCGCAAATAACGTTTGTCCCGATATCCAGTCAAGTCGAGTTGGCGAGTTTTCTGCATTCGAGTCCGCATTCGAGTCCGCATTCGAGTCCGCATTCGAGTCCGCATAGAGAGGCACGCACATATTTCAATGATCATACGTACATGTAATTATTTGTGTTTAATGTGAAAGTAAGAGTCGGTGCATCAAAAGAGTATCATTGAATTCATTTAATAAAATTAAACAAGGTACAAAAGACAAAGTTGAATGTTTAATCTAGTAATGATAAATTTGTGCAATTGATTGTGCAATAGATTGTGCAATAAAGTGTTCCATAAGAAAAGAATCATGAGAAATATAAGTTATATATACTTTAGAGACATGCAACGTAATTACACTAGTATCCTATACTCTTTCTCGTTACTCTTAGATATTATAAATAATCGAATGCATTTTAATGCGTCCAGTACTCCGAATTTAAATATATATATATATATATAT